TGTAAGTACTTAGATGTATTCTATAATCATTCTTAAGTACTATAAAAGTAAAAGATATCATGAAAGTAGGATACTAGAGCAATATTAAATCACTTGACCTTTTAGTGCAAAAAGAAACCAATATTCTTTTATCATTAAATAAGAGAGTAAATTACAGACTTTGGAACTTTGGAATAGCATCAGGAAGAAAATTATCTACCAGGATTGGCTTTGAACTAGCATACTTTTTAAGGAAAATCTGTACATATTTGGACTAGCTTGCATTGTAAAGTCTCAGAAATAAAATTGCTAATTTCCTTGAAAAACATGTGGGCAAAACTGGGTTTGAATACAGGTCCACTTGACTTCAAGACCTATTCTTGAACCATTCAGTTCACCTATAATATGTGAGTCTTCAGGAAATTTTTCCTGAAGATAATCAATTATCTTTATAATCAATTTATAATCAATTCTCTTTATAATCAATATTTCCTGAAAATAATCAATGACCTCATGTCCTTTTGTTCATCACTGTTCACAATAATGATTTTGTCTTATTCCTATGAAATGACGCTAAATGTGTTCTGACCCCAGCATTCATGTGCGAATGCTATGGGTAATTTGGTGTCAGCATACTAAGGACCCATCTTTAGGCAGCATTCATTCAGGACTGTTCAGAGGGATTTAAGTTCTTATATGGAGGGTGAGCAGGGACAACTATGCCCTTATTATTGACTGAGATGATCTGTGCCACCCACTCAGAGGCAAAGGAGCCCCCGAGTTGGCATCATAGACTGGCTGTCAAGTCAGAGAAACCATTCAGAAAAGGGGTTGACGTGTATTCTCATTTATCTAAGCTCAGGGATTGTAAAGAACATAATAAACAACTTGGGGTATTTCCCATGAACATTTCAAAGCAGCCTATTAATACAGTAGAAAGGATATATGTCAACAACTTAAATTATGTCATTTGGCTATAACTGAAAAGTGAAATCATTTGGCATTTATGAATACTGCTAATCTTTCCACAGAGAGAAAGAAATGCATTGACCACTCAGGGTAGTTTATGCAGAAAGAATGGTTACATATGACTGCATTTCAAAGTAAATTCAGGCTAAACTCTGGTGCATAAAATTAATATGCACCATATTTTTATTTTTGTGTTTAGAATATATCTCTTTAAAAAAAAATCTAACATTCCTCAGTGTTTTCCCACCACTTCGTGTGTCCTACCTTCTGAATTATATATGAACTCTGAATAATTTTAAAATAGCCTAGCAATTTACTGGATTAAAATTATTCCATGGAAAATCTTTCAGGCTCCAGTCTTAAAATCCTCATATTAACTGAGCTAAAATGTAGTCCAAAGTTGTACAGCTGGCCTTGGTGCTTAAATTCAAGTCTACAAAAATAACATAACTAACAGAATTCTTGGGCAAAATTGAGGAGAGACGTTGACCCTGCTCCTCTTCAGAATGGAATGCCCAATAATCAAAAGAATTCAAGCACAAAGTCATGTTGGTGCCCATGAATGAGCAATCAAACATCTTAAGATCCTCATTCAAAGCTTAAATGACCCAATCTGCTGTCATGTTGGAAATAAAGACTACTCTGATCCATTAAAAAGAGAGAGTGAGCGATCTGATAATTGAAAGGAATTCAAGGGAAATTAAGAGACCATAGCCACAAAATCATGTCGTTGCCCTCTGACCTATGAGAAAAACAAATCCACTGCTATGTACAAGTTGTTGTTGTTTTTATTTAGTGCTAAGTTGTGTCAGACTCTTTTGTGACCTTTTTGTGTGGACTATAGCCTGCCAGGCTTCTCTCTCCAGGGGATTTCCCAGGCAAGAATACTGGAGTAGGTTCCTTCTCCATGGGATCTTCCCCATCCAGGGACTGAACTCAGGTCTCTCACATTGCAGGCAGATTCTTTACCATCTGAGCCACCAAGGAAGTCTTTATGTTGCCTTTTATACAAAAACTTCAGCAAGAACTGACTTTAAGAAAATAGAGCTCCACACCACCTTTTGACTCTCATTCTGACACTCGTATTCACAGATAGGCCTTTGCTCTGTGGATTATCTGCTGAGGTTCAAGGTAGCCTGCATTTTATGGTCAGTTTTCATAGTCTTGGCCCTAGTATAATTCCAATTTAAAAGAATACTTGAAATACTGTCTCTCCTAGTAGCAAGTAAACACTCCAGGAATTCGATGCTTTCCAGAATAATCTGTGCTTGTTATGTAAGTACCATCAAAGGCACTTTTTCAGAACAGAACAAAAGAGATTAGATTCGCCTTAGTTCTAACTGTCTAAAGAGAGCTCTCAGCTGTAGACTTGTTAATGGCTTTAGCACAAATAATGGAAATCAAATCACGCATTTTTATTAGTCACCAAAGAAGCCTTGGGTTTCGGGTTCTTCTGCAGAGTTCAGTCACTGTGACTCTTCTTTTAACAACTTGGAAAATGTCTTTCCTGATTAGGAAGTTAGTCATTTCACGTTTTGACATCTAAAACAATGTGAAGTTAAAAAAAAAAAAAAAACCCTCACAAATTACATCTATAAGTAACAGGATACATCACTTTAAAGATGACAAGCTCAAGGATTTTTGGCGCCTTTCTTTGTTCCCAATAATCCTATTCTACTTTTTGAGTGTCAGATACTTTGTAAATATCAGCATTTGAATTCAAACAACAAATGCTGATAATTAGTTCCCTAAACTTGGTATAAAAACATTATTATAGTAGCAGGTTTCATGTTTTGAGAACTAACCTTCCTTCAGTTTGATGTTTTCTGAAGCACTTATTACTATCCCAGTTCACACACTGTCTTTGTGACTCAGTTTTAAAACTTAAAACCATGTTTCTTTTTTTTAATTTATTTATTTGAAGGGTAACTGCTTTGCAGTATTGTGTTGGTTCCCACCAAACATCAACATTAATCAGCCACAGGTTTACCTATGTCCCCTCCCACTTGAAAAACTTAAAACAGCTTTAAACCTCCAGTGTTTTGAAAAGAAGTGATGAAAAGAACTGGGGAAATGTCTTTCCAGTCCTCATTTTTCTGCAGGCTTGTTTATTCCTTCTTGTTTTAGCAGTTGCTTCAGCCTTGGTCACAGACATCCCCTGAGGCTTCTCTTTTCTATTTATTTTGCCCATTTAAGGTTAACATATTAGGAGTTTTGCTACTGAGACATTAAAATAAATACATCTGGGGCTTTCTCAAGGCTCCTGTGCTGACCACTGCCTTCTTGCCTGACTTCACTGGCATCCCCTCAATCCAGGCGGTATTAAGACTACAGAGTTGAGCTCCTTAGCTATGTACCGCGTTTATTTTTGTATTCAGAAAAAGAAAATAGAACCCTGCCTCTTTATTTATACTAGCTGAAAAACAAGAGTTAAAACTCATCATAATAAAGGGTCCTGCAATCACTATTTAAAGTCAACTGGCGTGAAATTTTACAGTAGAATTCAGTGTAATGTCATGACTCTCTCAGTCCTGGATATGGCAGCTGCAGTATCCTTCAGGGTGGATGGGCAAGAATGTAATACTAAACACAGTCAGGTGATACCAAAACACTATGTAATGAGGATGTCATCTGTGTTGTTTTCAGTGTATAGCTCTAAAAATTTAGTTGGGGTGAACATCAGTACTATCATTTTATCTATTCTATATATTCACTGCTGTGTAGTATTCATTGAGTACCAGGATCTTGGAGAAGGAAATGGCAACCCACTCCAGTATTCTTGCCAGGAGAACCCCATGGACAGATAAGCCCCATGGGCTATAGTCCATGGGGTTGGAACAAGTCGGACACAATTGAACTGACTTAGTATAAGTACCAGGATATTAGTAATTGAATGTAGACATAAAAAAGATAAAATCCTTCTCTTCTTGGCTCATATGTACATCTCATATCATTTGAGTGTATTGTTTTCGTGCTGATTTATTTCTCAAATTCTCCCTCTACCCTGGGAAGAAGGTATCATTTTATTTAGCCAGTATCCATTTTAAAATTTTTTGTAGGTTTAAATAAACTTTTTTCCAGTTTATTGAGATATAACTGACATACAGTACTGTATAAGTCTAATGTAAACAACAAAGTGATTTGACTTACATACCTCAGGAAATGATGACCACAGTAGGTTTCGTGAACATCCATCATCTTATATACAAAATTAAAGAAATAGAAAAAAATATATTTTTCAATGTGCTGAGAAATGTTCGGATTTTCTCTCAACTTTCATATATAATTGCAGCAGTGTTAATTATATTTATCATGTACATTACATACCTAATACTTACTTATAACTGGAAGTTTGTACTTTTTAGCTGTCTTCATCCAATTTCCCTTACACCTACCAGTGGCAACCTCAAATCTAATCTCTTTTTCTATGAGTTTGTTTGTTAGTTTATTTGTTGAGGTATAACTGACTTAACAATATAGTATATTAGCTTCTGTTACACAACATAGTGATTCGATATTTCTATACCTTTCAAAATAATCACTACATTAAGTCTAGTTATGAATCTATCACCATACAAAGATGTCACATAGTTATTGACTATATCCCCCACACTGTACGTTTCATACCATGACACCTTTATTTTGCTGCTTGGAAGTCTGTACCTCTAATGTCCCTGACCTATTTCTCTATTCCAGCCACCCTCTCCGCTTTGGCAACCACCTGTTTGTTCTCTGTATCTGTGACTCTGTTTCTGTTTTGTTACATTTGTTAATTTGCTTTGTTTTTTTTATTAAAGTTTTTTTTTTGCTTCGCCATGTGGGCTTGTGGGATCTTAGCTCCCAGACCAGGGATTAGCCCTATGCCCTCAGCAGTGAAAGTGTGGACCACTGAGCCACCGGAGAATTCCCTATCTTGTTTTTTCAATTTCACATATAAGTGAAGTCATACACTATTTGTCTTTCTCTGCCTGACTTACTCATTTATATCCTCTAGGTCCATCCACATTGTCACAAACGGCAAGATTTCCTTCTTTTTTATGGCTAAGTGATATTCCATTGCACATGTAAGCCACATCTTCTTTATTAATCTGTGGATGGGTGCTTGGGTGGCTTCCATATCTTGGCTATTGTAAATAGTTCAGTTCAGTTGCTCAGTCGTGTCTGACTCTTTGCGACCCCATGAACCACAGCACACCAGGCCTCCCTGTCCATCACCAACTGCCAGAGTCTACCCAAACCCATGTCCATTGAGTCGGTGATGCCATTCAACCATTTCATCCTCTATCGTCCCCTTCTCCTCCTGCCCTCAGTCTTTCCCAGCATCAGGATCTTTTCAAATGAGTCAGCTCTTTGCATCAGGTGGCCAAAGTATTGGAGTTTCAGCTTCAACATCAGTCCTTCTAGTGAACCCCATGAACAGTATGAAAAGGCTATTGTAAATAACATTGCAACAAACATAGGGGTGCATATATCTTTACTAATTTGTATTTTTGTTTGCTTTGAATAAATACCCAGGAGTGAAATTGCTGGAACTTATGCTAGTTCTATTTTTAATTTTCTGAGGAATCTCCATACTCTTTTCCATGGTGGCTGCAACAATGTATATTCTCACCAGTAGTGCACAAGACACCCTTTTCTTGGTATCCTTGCCAACACTTGTTATTTGTTGTCTTTTTGATAACAGCTATTCTGACAGGTGTGAGGTGATATCTCATTGTGGTTTTGATTTGTATTTTCTTGAGGATTAGTGATGGTTGTGTGTCTTTTCATGTGCCTGTTGGCCAGCTGTATGTCTTCTAGGGGGAAAAGGCTTTTCAAATCCTCTTCCCATTCTTACGTGGGTTGTTTGATTTTTTGATGCTGAATTGTATGAATTCTTCATATATTTTGGATATTAATCCCTTATCTGATAAATTATTTGTAAATATCTTCTTCCATTTAGTAGGTGGTCTTTTCATTTTGTTGACAGTTTCTTTTGCTGGGCAAAAGCTTTTTAGTTTGATGTAGTCCCACTTGTTAATTTTTGCTTTTGTTTCCCTCGCTTGAGGAGACATATCCAAAAATACTACTACTAAGGCCAGTGTCAAAGAGCGTACTGCCTCTATTTCCTTCTAGAAGTTTTATGGTTTCAAGTTGTATATATGTCTTTAATCTATGTTGAATCTATTGTTGCACATGATGTGAGAAAGTAGCCCAGTCTGATTCTTTCGATGTAGCTGTCCAGTCTTCCCAATTGGACATTTTAATTTTATTATTATTTACTGATCCATGAGGTATAGATAATTTTTTTAACCTATGAGATATTAGAGTGCTAATGTACATGGAAACTCAATGTGTGGTGTAGGGGAAGTTCACGTTCATTGACCATAGGCCCTACTCAGGAGCTCAGGCAAAGTGACCAGGGTTAAACAACTCTCAGAGAGCTCTTCCCCTTAGAAAAATTGCTTCCTGAAGAGCTTATCCTTTCGCTTTGGTTACCAGGGTATAGAGAACTAAGAAACTCTAAAAGTGGGCTCAGAGAATATGCCAGGGAAAGAACTAAGTCATCTTACACATCAAACAACACCATAAATATTTTGAAACTTGTTTTCTACAAGCACCATTTTCCCAACCATTTCCAATAAATTAATCTCAGCTGTCATACAGCAAGCACGCCAGTGGGGAAAACCACCACATCTGATACTGAAACAGAACTGGGTTTAATAGTCATCATTTATTTCTTTCACTTTAGTAAAAATAGATGAATCTTACCTTTGATTACTTGCTCAAAATACAAGCAAGTACATTGCTTAAATACATTAAATATTCCCTGGTAATAAATTAATTCAATAATAAATTGAATATAATAAATTAAATAATGTAAAGTAAAAATCTCAAAATAAATAATGCAATAAACTGAATAATGAAAAGTAATGATTTCAAAGTATCAGAGTGTTTTTTAAAATTCTGGAAGAGGGCACATAACCATCAATGATCCTTTCTGGCTTAGAGAACAAAAACTGTTACTATAAACGTTTGTGAAAGCAATTTAATTTTTAACCATGAAAACCCTATTCCATTTTCACCCATTAACGATCACCATTAAACAAAAACATGAGTTTATGTTTATGATAATAAGACCAATAATAATTGAAGTTTAACTTGAATAGAATTATAAATTCTGCCCACTTTATTAAACTTTCATTTAAATAAGACTAATGATAATGTGATATTAGCTCACAGGTACACCAAGACCAAAGAAAAACACTTTCTTGATATTTTGCTCCCCACACTAGTGAACAAATTAATACATCATTTTCTTTCTACAGGAAAACTGAAGACTTAAATAACAAACCCTCCAAGGTCAAAATGAACACAGGTATGCTGTCTCTGTTAGTTTTAAACTCTTCAGCCTCACTCTCTAAAAATCATCTTGGCCCTAAATCATTAGTTTAGCACTTAGCTGATCCTAAATGTGACACTGAGTTTCTGAGATACTCGAATTCATTATTTGATTTCTTTGTTTTTGTACTTCAGTCTTACAGCTATCAAAAGTAGAATTTTCTGTTTTGCTGTCTGTTCTTACTCCTTTTTTTCTGTAATTATATCATGACATTAACTCCTATAAACCTTAGGAAAAGGTAGTATATCATTCAATGCATACATTTGAAAACTCTAACTTAAAATAGGGTAAATTCATAGGCAGGTTGCTCTAGTGAGAGAACATTTAAAATTCCCCATTCTATAAATATTTTACGTGACAGCAAGAGTAGTGCCAAAACTTCATAGGAAATCAGCTTAATTAATCAATAGACATAATACACTTAGAGTCTTAAATATTATATTTTTAGATGTGAGAACAGTATCTCCAAATAGCTTAACATTGGTGCTCTGAACCCCATATTGTATACAGATTAATTGTAAAAAAATTTTTTAGTACTTGCTAGATACATATGATTTTTCCCCATAATATAATTATTATAGCTTACATTTTCACCTTCTCCTCCTGAAATTCTTATATTCAGTATTGAATAATTCTGGAAAGCAAGTTGAAATTTTGTAATTTTCAACTGTGTTTAGAAAATATCACTTCCTACCCATAAGTGATCACTCCACAGCAAAGGAGAAAGCATGGTGGAAGATATTTTTCTCAAATCAAGCCAGTTTTTTTTTTTGCTGTCTCTTGTTATCAAAATGCCTCGAGGGAGGATTAACAACCACTGGTGAGAACCAATACCTAATCCCTAGATCAAGTGTAGAGACATGCGCTCTGAATGTGATTCTGCGGCTGCCCCTTAGCAGAAACCAGCTGGGACCGACCTCTGAGAGTCTGAAGTCAGCTGGCCCCTATGCAGTCAGCTCATAGGTGTGCAGGCAAGATGAGGACATTGGAGACATCCAACGAGGACAAGGAGGGCTTAGACGTGAACAGAAATTGTAACCCTGGAAATGAACCAAGTAGTCATTTGGACAGTTGGAGATGTGAGAATTATACACATGGGAAATGAAAGGATAAATATTATTAGGCAAAGGAGACTGAAGAAAGCAAATAGAACAGAGAGCCCATCACTGAGCTTGTCTAAGTCATACTGTGAAACTGCACAGTCACCCCAGTCGGTCATGCACACGATTAAGTTGTATTCACCAATTGTTCTGCAGCATCTTCTTGCAGACTTAAGTTGAATGTAATTTCTCAATATCCTTCATTTTGTGGAGTCTAATTTTCCTATTTATTATAACCTTATTATGACAGATGTATAATATGTGATTATACTAAGTATATCATATTCGTTACAATGCATTCAATAATTAACCTTCCTATTCATAGAATTCAATCCCCAATAACAAAGTAGGCAAATAGAAATCTGTAAATTTGTTTAGTTCTCCAGGGTACTTGAATAAAGTTATGGCTCTAGTAGCATGAATATAACCCTCTGAAGCATCCTCACTAAAATGAGTGAGCTGGGCTCTATATGGGATGTTAATTTGCAGATATTTTAATTATATGAGTGAATTTACACATCTATATATGCATGTAAATATGTTATTAAAACATATACATACAAAATTAATTAGAAGTGACTGAAACCCTTTGTTTAAAATGCCACAGTAATTCTTTTATTTTTGTTTTAAAACATACCACTTTTGAAAATATATATAGAACTATAAGAGCTTCCCAGGTGGTGCTAGTGGTAAAGAATCTGCCTGCCATGCAGGAGACCTAGGTTTGGTCCCTGGGTCGGGAAGATTCCCTGGAGAAGGAAATGGCAACCCACTCCAGTATTCTTGCCTGGAGAATCCCATGGACAGAGGAGCCTGGAGAGCTACAGTCCAGAGTCACAAAGAGTTGGATACGACTGAAGTGATTTAGCACATGCACACACAGAATTACACGTGTGTGTGTGCACACACACACAGTTTTTCAACACTGTAGGAAATTGAAGAAAGCATTGTCACTGTATCTCAAAACAAAGTAGAAATCAGTTCCCAAATATCCAATAAATAAAACAGGTCTCCATTATCTACCTATCAATCATTACAGAGAAATATTACTATTTCAGTATTCATGTGTCCGTCACTAAAGTTTTTTAAAAAAAAATAAGATTCTTTCAAAACAGCTCTTTGTTTTTAGCCCAATACATAATAAACCTGCCAAGGGAACTGTGACACATTTCTCATACTAAAGTATCTAAATAATGTATAAAATATACAAAACATGTTGTATTTGTACTCTTGGAATTTTTGGTCCACTGTTTTCGAAGGAAAATTTTTGCTGGGGAGGAGTGAGAAAAAGACATCAAATGCTCCATTGTATATGGTTTACTCCTGTGAGTGTTTTCCAGCAGTGGAAGCAGCTACCGAGGGTCTTGCCAAGGCCTGGAAGTGTGAGCAGATTATGAGTGAGTGTGAAGGTGAGGGCAACATTAGGGTTCTTTTGGATGACCTAAATATGTAAGATAGCATCCTCATTTTGAGATCTAAAAGAATATCTTTGGAAAGAGCAGAAAGTATCAACACATAAGTAAGTAGAAACAGGATATGATAGATTTTTTCATTCCAGCACTTTCATCAATGCCTCAACTTTTCAAATTAAGCTCTTTACTAAACTGTTAATAAAGAAAAATTCTCCAGTCATTTTACCGAGTTCTTAGAGTAACATTGAATATAAAAATTATTTAACCCAGAGGTTCCCACACTTTCTTGGTTGACAGGGCCAAGACAGCTCAGTAATTTTTCATGCACCCTCAAGCCAAAAGTACCTGATAGTTGTATTTATTAAGCAGTTAGGTGCAGACAGTTTAGTAAGTGCTCATGATCTATCAACTCAGAAGCAATCTGAACAAAATCACACACTTCAATATACTTCCCCGGCAGCTCCAAACAGCCATGGTTATTTTAGAGCTTCCCCGGTGGCTCAGATGGTAAAGAGTCTGCCTGCAATGCAGGAAACCCGGGTTTGATCCCTTGTTTGGGATGATCTCCTGGAGGAGGAAATGGCAAACCACTCCACTATTCTTGCCTGAAGAATCCCATGGACAGAACAGCCTGGCGAGCCCCAGTCCATGGACTTGCAGAGCGTCAGACACAACTGAGCGACTAACACTTCACTTCGTTTCATATACTTCAATTGAAAAAAATAATCATTTATCCAATTCCCTATAACCACAGTTACTTGTTACTGGGATGCCTGTGTGTATTGGGCGCTATAAAATTTCTCAGACTCAGAATTAGATTGTATTTCACTTCTCTCAATTACTGGCCCGGATTACTTTGACAGGGCACTTGTGTTCCACCACAACAATCACCAAAAACCCAGATTTACAAAGATGTGACCTCATCTAAAAGAAGATAACAGGATCTCTGATGTTGAAACTGGGAACTGCCTCAGGCTAGTGGTGGATGCAGTGTCTGTCTGATAGACATCACTGTGTTTTCCTCAAAAATGTGAACTATGTTCCCAAACCCTTGTGAATCCACTGTGGTGGGTGCTTAATACAGAGTTTTGGAAACCAAAGGTTTAACCAGCGACCTTGGGTCTCTTTATTCTGAATTTTTCCCTTTGCATCTCTGCTTGTTCCTCAGATGTTCAGAATTAAAAGAACCAGAAAATGTAATCTCTAGTAAATGAGAGCTTTCCATTCACACTGTCAACACACCAGAATACTTAACCTTTTGAGACCCTGATAGCTGCTATATATTGCGTATTCAATAATATTACCTCTATTTTATTAGAAACATTCACCCCCCCACCCATGGCTATTCTCCATTTGCAGAGTTTGCTAAAATCTTATTGGTGCCTCTCCTGAAGATACATTTGGTTGTATGTTTTTACCGTTTATGTCATTCTATATTTGGTCTTTGGTTTATTTGATTTACTTTCTTTTGTTGTCCCATTTCTCTGTTTTATTATCTTCATTACAAAATTGCTATTTTAAGTATATATTTAAAAACATATTTTGACATGAGAATCATTCTATCAATTTAAAGTTCTGCTGACCTTACTACTTGTTATTTTACCAACAATTAATTCAAATCATACTTTCAGCACTCAGTTCCCTCATGTTCAATAAACGAAATGGATACACTCCTTAAGAAATAAAGGAAAGCAATATGCAAGACTAGCATGTGGCCAAATATAATAATTATAATATTGGTGGTTATAGAATTTATCTCTTTTTTTAATATATCTTTTGTTATAGCTTTCAAAAAGAATTAAATTTAAGTTCTTTTGGTTCCAGGGGAATGAGCAAAACTATTTATTGCACATTCCAGCTACAAAGGAATGTGGGAATGGAATTGGAATCTGTTCCTAAATAGAACATTAACCTTCCAATTTTAGAAGTCTCGTTACGCTAAGCTTCTCAAATCATATTAAAATAGCTGATGCATTTTCACTTCTTTTACTTCATGCTGTGATTTGCATTAAGTGTAAATACATAAGTCATATACTTATTGTTCAAAAGTATGAAAACTAATTTTTTAAACATGGTCATTTCAGTACTGTATATATCAATATTGTTTTACCTCAATTAGGCAAAATTTCCCATAACTAATAATAACTATGGGAAGACACAGAATGTTTTTCTTTATGAATCTTACATATCAAATGTATTGTGCCTATAACAGGTAGGTAAGAACTTTTACTTCAAGAGATCCTTTGACCTATCTTCAGGAATCATAATAGCTCGAATCCAGTAAAACCTAAAATGATGGATATGAAAGTATGTTATACCATAGCTCTTAATCCTGAAATACAGGATATTCATAACTCTAAAAGCTAGTTACACTGCTTGTAAATTTAATAGTTGAATTCAAATGGTAAAAACAAAGTTCAGTTCTATACATGGTATTCCTCAAAGAAAAACCATAAAACATCAAGTATAAAATCTGATTTTTTTTTTTGTTTTTTTACTAAATCATTGGCATCTGTTTCTAAGACATAACCCTGGCGTTTTCCTTGTTTTGTTTTGGTTTAGTTTGGGGTGGGTGTAAATTTTGCAGATGTATCCCATGGTTACCAGTGCTGACTGTTCATCTCTCTCATGGATGTCTGTCACATTTCACTGAGATGCATGATACTGCATGTGCTTTCTCCTTTGCTGTGGCCTCTGCTATGTCATTTTTTTGCTTCCAGATAGCGGTGGGTGTGCTCGCAAACGTGCCGCCATGTCTGTTACATTAACATCTGTGAAGAGAGTTCAGAGTTCTCCAAACCTGTTGGCTGCAGGTATAATATCACTAACTCACAGAATGTCACATTTGAATGGCTTTCTCTGACCTTTCTCTCTTTCCAGAATTATCCTGTTTGGATGATGAAAGTGGCTGTAAATACCTTTCTAATGCCCCACAAGTTCTTATTTTTCTTGTCTCAAGAATAGCTCCTATCCCTTATGACTGTTTTGCTCTAAAAATAAAAAATGTCAAAGGGAACTGATATCTTGTAGAAAATATTTTAAAAACCTAATTAAAAACAAGTCACTTGCCAAAAATGTGTTAAGTAGCTGCAAGTTTTAACTAAGTTTTTGTACTGCATGAACTAAAGTAACATAATATTTAATTAAGATAACTCATAGGTACTTTTCTTGTTTTTTTACCTAAAAACTGTTGAGGGTGGAGGCACAGAGTGGCAGAAGTGGGATTTGCAGGAAATTGAATCTTTATTAATTTGCTTCTTAGTCAAAGATTGCAAATAAAATGATAGAATATTAACTTTGAAAGAGACTTTTAATCTTCCTTTAATCCAATCAACGAAGAGCTTTCTAATATATATTTTTAAACATCTTGGTCCAATTAAAATTAACATGAACTCACAAGTATAAATATACTCTAGAAAGTAACTGGGAGTGTGATATTTCAGCATCCACTGAAGTGTGTCTTATTATAATAAATAATCTCTCATGACTTCAACCCTAGTCTCTCTAGACCTTGAAATATACCCTGACTGGTTAGTTGGTAGGTCAATTTTATTTTTCCTTGGTTAGTTGGGGTTTCCTTTGGTTTTTTAAATAATATTCATGAGTTTTGGAACAGAAGTGGGGAAGGGATGAAGGATATTTAAATAATTCTGATTCTCAGTGTGCGTATTACTGTCTTTTATACACATACATTTATTAGTCAATTATTCAGGATGTCCTTGACTTTAAAGCCACTTGACCCTAAACTATCCAGTTTTGTTGAGGAAAAATCAAGCTTCCATGTGGAGAATCCCACTCCTGCCCACCACCTTCAATCCATAAATAGATTTCAATGTCTAAGTTTAAATACAAAGCCAGGTGTTTCCATAATATGTTACCTTTATTAAAAAAATGTAAATTGCATTGCAATGGATGTAGTAATGATCTCATTTTAGTTTGAAAAAAATTATATATGTATTTGTACATGTTTGTTCATGTGTGTGTGAGCATAGAAAATGTTAGAAAAACAATCATTTCCCCAACTCATAAGGATTTTTCAGAATTAAATGAGGGTAAATGAAGAAAATGAATGGACAGGTTTATCATAGTACTGACAAAGACAGTAGCCATTCAGTTAGTTAACTTGAATTTAGTTAATACATTTAATTCTTGCAAGGCACTTGAACCCTCCAAAGAAAGGGGCTATAAGAATTAAAATTAACATAACTTTAAAGAAAAGCATCATAAGGACATTTAAGTAAAACCCAAGAGTAGAGACTATGAGGTAGGGGGTACTGCAAACACAGCTACATAAAAATCGTAATATTGGAATCATAAGGGTGGAAAGGACCGCTAAGGACATCAAGTGCGGTCCCCGACATCAGGCCCGGAAAGCCCTGATAACGTCTCTCACCTGTTCACCACCTTCTGCAGCACACAGGTGGTGCTCATTGTAAGAGGGAAGAGCAGTTCAAGTTCTTAGCTCTCAAAGACTGTTTTCACGCACAGAACAGCCAGGGAACATTAAATCTGTCCCATTTACTCATTCTTAAATTTTCAAAGAAGCAATGACCACCCACTAAAATATACTAAAAATTAAAGGCTCTGATCCCTAGAATTCTAGCTGTTTTTTTCCACAAGTGAATGGTCATGAAGAGTGTTCAAGATATTACACAAAACCATTTTCTCAAGCATCTGCCAAGTTATTTACCTGCCCAATTCTTAAAAAAATAACCAAAAAGCTCTATTCTCTTTACTTGACATGTGTCTAGGATGCTTCTTACTACCCACTCCAAACCACACCTGCCCTCCCTTTCCTAAGCTTTCCTGGCAGGGGTGAAATAAAAACAGAGCTTTGGTGAACAGTGACCATGTGGGGTGCTGTATGACTTTCAGTTCCTCTGAAGAACTACAATATCAGTAAAGTAGCAAATTGGCACCCGGCGTTTTATATATCTAAAATTAGATTTATGTTAAAGAAACTGAAATATTTGTACACCTGAGGCTCCTTAAAGGACCACCCACTTAAAAGTAAATCTGAATCATTAGTGTCCAGGACCTGGACAGAAGATTAGGCTGAATGACCTCTAAGAGCCTTTCTAAAATTAAGGCTTTATGATTCCAGGTGAAGTTGGCCCTGTGGTATCATAGAGCCAAGCAATACCAACTGATTACCTAAAACTGTGCATAATTTATAGGAGATTCTTGAGAGTATAATTCCAAATAAAACTGAGAGTAAATATGTCATCGGGCTGCTTTCCAGCTGTATTATCTAAAGCAATTTATTAGTAATGAAATGCTTAGTGCAAGACAGTAGAATACTTGAAACAGCTTTTTCATTGTTGAATATAAAATCACTCTTGAATGGCAGTAAGAAGAAAATTCAAAGTCTAGAGAATGATTTGAAAATATCATATAATATGGCAGTGTATTTTACACTTTCTTAAAGTAAAGAAGAATTAAAGCTGCAAAAAATTGATGGCATTGAAAGCTAAGGATCTGGTGGTTTGATTCATTGTTGGGAGAACCATTCATTGTTTACCAAACTTTTGATCCTTCAAACTGCTATTTAAAAATTCATATATTCACCTTAAGCAGTAATAAGATAAAACTGAATTCATGCAATAATACTGAGGGGAAAATCAGTGTTTGATATATGTTTTAATTATATATCATATTTAATTAATTCTAATCTAATTGAAGTAAAAACAAGTGTACAAACTTCCATTAGTATATTTTATATAACCAGAGTTTTAGATCTAAGATAATGTTTGCCCAAAAAACAAAATGTACGTCGTTTTTTTGCCAAACGATCTTTACTGCATTGCTCGTTTTACCAGAGAACTAATTTCAACATTTCTTTTTCTTTTAGGGCGTGATTCTCAGTCACCAGACTCAGGTACCAAAAAACTATTCTGAATAACTACTACATTTGTTGTGAGTTTTTTTTTTTTTAAACATATTCATAGCCACATTGTTACTCTTACAGTAAACTTAAATTGCATACACAGTTATGCATTTTTAATGTCTAAAAAGAAAATTTCAATTTTGGAAATAAAAATAAATTTTATTTAAAAAATATGTTAAAAGTGAATGTAGATATTTTTGTATCCGATTTGTTTTCTCTTAATAAAAGCTTGGAGATGTTACAATGATCGAAATCAAGAGACACTGAATGGAGATGCTACATGTTCCTCTCTTGCAGCAAAAGGTTTTAGAAGCGTTCGACCAAACCTACAAGAAAAAAAATCACCAACTCAGGTAATCCTGCACACTGCTGTCCACTGTGTTATTTTAAAGCATGGTTATTAGGCCACTGCTCCAGAGTCTCTTTTCTAATAACATGCATATTTTTATATGTTTTATTTTTAATATGTTGTTTTTATATTTATATTGACTTGTATTTACAACATGGAAGACAAGTCTTAAGTTGAAAACAGTTTATTGATTTTTCTTTTTTTCTGATTCAGCTGATAAAAGCACAACAGTTTCTGGTATAATTTTCAGAATATTTTCTAATTCTTAAAAAAACAGTCAGTTGATGATTTGGATTTCAAAGTTATGAGGCCAGCAATATATTATTTACTGAATAAATATGAGTTATGCAACTGCTCATTAAATTAACGAAAGAAACTCAGTGTTGGAGATATTAGTAAAATTGTCACAGGCATGAAACGTGTTACCAAAATGATGTGAGTAAATACTGTATATATACCTGAAGGTCTAAAAATACACCAAGAGAAAATATTTTCACTTTTAACCTAATTTCCCAGAAAGTAGATGGAGACAAACTGGATCACGTATTCTCTATAAAACTACTTTCCCCCAGAAGGCAACTATTGACAATAAATTAAAATGCATTCTAAATAAACACGATCATTCAATCTGGCCAACAAAATGTATAGCTTAAGAAGAAGGTGTAACATTGCTTTACTTTCTTTAAAGGGTAGAGTTAACACTGGTTTCTTTAAATGATTAACTTTGACTTTCTCTCTGTTTTTCCTTCAACATTATTTCTTTCTCCGGATGCTTTTGGTAACCCAGGCACCCCTTCCACCACCCAGAAAAGAGAGCTTTTGTAGCTCCTTGATAACCAACCATACAAAGGGTGACATTTTAGACCAATTAGTAACTAACACACAAATTCCATCCTGTACAGAGTTCATTACTAACAAAACACCTCTCCAGGGAACTATGTATTCTAATGATGATTCTAGCCAGACAATTGTATATTCTGAAGAATCTAACACAACTGTGTCATATACACAAAAAATCACTAATCCACTACCACCACCTTCCAGCACAGGTCCCCCACCAAAAGCTGACATGAGTACCCCATTTCTCCAAGAGGACTATACCCAAGATTCTCAAACTCGGAGAATTTCCACATTGAAACTAATCCATAACCAGGATCCAGGAAGCAGCATCACCTTTAGTCCTCCACAGTTTCCCAAATCTGTTGAAGTACCATCATTTCTCAAAAGGCCTTGCTCACCGCCCGCTAACCCAGTGCCTGAGAAACACACAGCATCTCTTTCCATTCAGATAGCTCCCCTTTCGGGACACGATCCTGAAAGCCACAAACAGCCACCTGAGCTTTCTCCGGAGACTGCAAAGATACCTCTTCAGCCAGAGAGACAAAGACCTGCAGTTGCTGTGGCTTCTCAGTCCTCAGACTGCCAAGTGGTACCTTACACTTTCCAATCTCTTCTCACAGCATTCTGTAGAGACCCTAACTCCTTTGGTTTGGGCTTCTTATATAACCTGATGCTTTGGTAGTTTGCAATCAGGAAAGGAGAAAGAAACCATCTTCCTATTTAAAACCCCACCAAATTCATCAGTAAATTTCTAGGGATCTTTTAATTTAAAAAAATCTACAGATCTTTTACCCAGAAATCATGTTTTATAAGCTTCTTCCTTCTAGGTATTTATTAGAAATCATTGATGACTGGTTAACAATTAAGATTGCAAAGTACTTTTTAGGTTTTAAAGAAATATTGTTCATGCCAGATTTCTGAGTACTTAGATTTTACTTTATTTACATGGGTAAAATCTGCTAAAATAATTGTCCATTATAATTCACTTTGGCAAGAAACAGTTATCTTAATTCTAGCAGAGTTTATTTTCTTGCAGTTCAAAATTCATTTTCATTGAAACTCGATAAACTTCTATGTTTTTAAGTCTATTATTTCAGAAAGTATGTTAATAAATCTTTAGTACTCAGACTATTCAGAAGTAAATCTATATTTTCTTATATGTTAAATTCTCCCATAGTGTCATTCTGCTGACATTTATGAATCTAGTTAGAAGAGAAATGTGTTCCTCTCCTTGGCTTGTGATGTAATGTGAAGAGCATAAGCTTTAAGGCTAAACTGTAGATTCCAATCCAAACTCCATCACTGGCTATGTGATAAGGCAACCATCCTGACTTCTCTGCGAGTCTGAACGTAGAAATAAGAGTATTAATTAATCCTTAATTCATAGGCTATGATAAGAGTAGGAAGTTAGTAGAGGTAAATTACTTAGGATTCAGCAAGCTCTGCTTAAATGGTAGCCATTTATAAGGACATACTAGGAACTGCAGCAGTAGTGGGAGTCCAGAAAACACTCGTACTTGAGTCAATAATTTGAATAATGGCATCTACTGTGGCTGTGCTATTAAAAGTCATCCAAGACATATCCTTGAAGCAATGTATTTTTTATCTTTACAGAACGTCTTCAACAGACTTCTGATTGACATCAACATCCTTCCCACACACACCCACCCATAAAGCAGAAACTTTAAGCTTAGATGATTAAAAAGACAAGTGGGTATTCCTACTACTTTGTCAGTGCAAATTCTTTGAATTAAGGTAATATCTTCTGAGAGCCCCTATGAAATAATAATAAAAACAGTAAAAATGACAATAGCAGCTAACAAATACCAGGAGTTCACTATATGCAGGTACTGTTCCAAACCATTCACATTTATTAACAACTTCCACAATCCCATGAGGTAGGGAGCAAAATCAAGCTGAGACACCACAGACAGGGATGGGCTAGTGTCAGGGAGCAGACTTACTTGTGTCCAAGAACGTGTCCCTGGGAGCATATGTAGAAGTCAGAGCGGACATCACCACATTCACAACTCAGTTCACGCATCTGACAGTCTGGCTTTTAAAAATTGCTTTATTATGCTTAGAAACGTAACTTGAGAACTTTCTTTCCTATGGTTTGTCACCATCCAGGCTGACCAGAGACAGCTGGTTTTATTATACAGTCCCCAGGGAATCAGCATGATCCACAAATCAGGATTTGACATGCTGTCACTTTGATTCATTTAGGGCTTCCGAGGTGGCCCTCCTTGTAAAGAACCCGCTTGTCAGTGCAGGAGTCATAAGAGATGCCAGTTTGATCCCTGGGTCAGGAGGATCCCCTGGAGAAGGGCATGGCAGCCCACTCCAGGATTCTTGCCTGGAGAATCCCATGGACAGAGGAGCCTGGCGGGCTACAGTCCATGGCATCACAAAGAGTTGGATGTAACTGAAGCAACTCAGCACGCACTTTATTCATTCAACAAATATTTATTGGGCGTGTGTTGTCTATTCTAGCCACAGAGCTGGATTTGAAACCACTGATGATTAAAGGCTTGTTGATGGCAGCGGGAACCAATACTAATAGAAACTTAGATAAGCAGATCGCATACATTAGAAGGAGATTATGTCAATAAACTAAACAGCACTGAGCAGGGGTGAAGGGAGCAGAGTCCATGTTAAATAGGGTAGTCAAAGGGCCCTCATGCAGCAGACAGAGCAGCTTTGAAGGGGGAAGAACTTTCCAGGCAGAGGAAATATTTAGTGTAAAGGCATTCAGGCTGAAGCACGCTGGGGCTGCTCAAAGACCATCAGGGAAGGAAAGGAAATCAAGTGAGGCTCAGAGTAAGAGGAAGTCAGGTCCGAGGTAACAGAGGCCAGATGGCAGAAGTTCTAAGAAACCAGTGTAAGGATTTCAACTTTTACTCTCAATGAAAATGGAAGTCACTGGGGGGATTTAAGGCTACGACTGTCATTATTTGACTTACAGTCTAACAGAATCATCCTGGCAGCTCCGTGGAGAACAGACTACAGGAGGGTAAGACAGAGGGTAGGCAACCCAAGCAGGTGGCAACGGCAACAGCTTAAGTGAGAAATGGTGGTGGATCTGAGCAGGGTGGAAGCAGGCGAGGTGGTAAGAAATCGGATTCTGAATGTATTTTGAAAATACAGTACATAGGACTTCCTGACAGATTGCATGTGGGAGGTGAGGGAAAGAAAAGAGGCAAGGCTGCCTTCAAAGTTTTGCATCTTTGCAACAGGGAAACGATGGAATTTGCCACCCTCTGTCCCCTGAGACTGGATAACCGTGGGGAGAGCAGGTTTGGGGAAAGATCAGAGGTTCCATCTGGGACCTGATAAGTTTGAGGTGGGTTTTAGACATCCATGTGGAGAGGTCCAGGATGCAACTGGATATAGGAGTCTAGAGATCCGGTGAAAGGCCCGGGTTGGAGATACAAGTCATCGGCTTATAGATGCTTTTGCAGCCATGAGACTGAATGAGATGACCAGGGCATGGCTGCAAAGAGAGGAGGAGCCCCAAGGACTGAGCCCAAGGGCGTCCTGATGGTAAAAGGAGGGACTAAAGGCAGTGTCTGCTAAGGGACGAGGAAATCCAGAAGATGTGGCCTCCTGAACGCCAAGTGGGGAAAGCACATTAAGAAGAGGTGGTTAACTGCACAACTGATGCTGCCGGTACATGTGTTAACATGAGATCTGCTAAACTACCACTGACTTAGAAGAGGGGAAGGGGGCTTTCTCATGCTCTCTTGTGAGCTTTAGAGAGACTGGGAGGAGAAAACTTGGACAGTCAGCTCCTTAAGGGGTTATTAATGTTAGACCTTTCACTGAATGATGACCCTTCCCTGAGCCTCACTTACTTCATCTGTAAAATGGGGATAATAATGTAGCATTCATCCCATACTATTGCTGGGAGGTTTGAATAATACACTGCCTGTAAGCAGCTGGGTACAGTGACTGCCAGGATAATCCCTCAATATGGAGTAACTGTGGTTATTTTAAATACCCTTTTCCAACTGTGCATCTGATTGGGGAAAGGAAATACATTATTTTCAATAATACATTTTTTGAATGGGTGGGATGAAGTTTGTTTTATAACACTTTGTCAAAAAGTGGTATAAAACCGTTGCAGTTCTGACTTGTTTTAATTGTGTAAGAATATTGAACTGAGATCCACCCACTTAACACATTTTAAAGTATACAATATATATATCATTGACTACAGGCACGGTTTTGTACAACAGATCTCTAGACTGTAATCACGTCACCATCTCGCATAACTGAAACTCCTCCTGTGAACAGCAACTCCCATTTCTGTATCTCCCCCGCTCCTGGCAACTACCATTCTACTGTCTGCGTCTATGAGCTTGACTGGTTTAGATCCCTCATAAAAGTGGAGCCATGCAATATTTCTCCTTCTGTGACTGGTTTATTTCATTTAGAATAATGCCTTTGGATATCATCTGTGTTATCTCATGGGACAGGATTTCCTTTTTTTAAGGCTGAATAATCTTCCCGTGCCTGTATATGCTGCATTTTCTTTATCCCTTCATCCACTGATGAGGATCTAGACATGTTTCCACATCTTGCCTATTGTGATAGACTTTAAGTCTCATTTGCCATGTAATGGCCTTTCACAGCAGTGACCTTTTGTTTTAAATACCCACATTCCATATTCCTGTAAGAAAGTCTCAGTAAATTCCAAGAGCTATCAGCTACACATCATAAATCAGACAAATATATGCCCTATTATAAAGAATCATCCTCCCAAGAAAACAGCAGTACCAAGAAACAAAAATGCTCTATTGAGAGTAACAAGGAAACTTTAGTGCTCTAGAAGTTTCATTTATATACTTCTCCTGTTTTTATTAAAGTCTGACTATTAGTGTAAGAAAAAAACTATAGCCTACCATTAGGAATTTTCATTCTCTCCATATTTGATAATATAACACATTGCTTTATAAGCTGCATATGTTATAATTTACCTCCTGCAAATTTATGTATAGCGAGAACACAAAATGAGGTATGTTACCCTCTGTCACTATGTGAACAGATATCCTGTTGCTAAAAATGTTGCATTGTTCTCAGTGTCAGATAAAAGTGCAAGTCTAAGTCAGAAGCTTTGAAAGACAGCAAAATCTACACCTCACACATTTTCTCCAGCATTTTTTACTGCTGTGTCCTTTGCTTGAGGACAATAAACTTTATGATACATATAACAAATCTGTTATGAAATAATGTTATCAATCATTTGCCAAAGCTTTACTTTCACAGCTGCTGATGCACAAATGTTAGGGATTCAGAGGGGACTCTGTCTCAATGTCATATAGAAGACGGACAGAACTCATCTCTGTGGCTCCCTGGGGTCAAGATGTAGAATGTGAAGGACGGCTGATAACGAATAAATGCCAGCAACGTGGGATGCTAGAAAAGGTAGAGAATACGGACTATACTTTCTGGACCAATCCCATCAACACCAGCCCCAGTCACTCGTGTGTTCTATTAGGACGGCCAACCAATATTTCATGACTTCTTCTGTGTGAGTTTGTTATGAGATTAGTTGATCAAGCGTTATACCCACAAACTGATAATCACAAAATATTGGTGACCTCTGACTTGCATTCAAGCACTTTAACCTTACATGGTCATGAAAAGACAGAGACACAAAACAACTATGATGCTTTTCTGCAGTCATCTATCTGCCACCAACTCAGTAGGGGAAAAAAAATCTGCTCTTGTTTTAAACTAGTTTTTCCTATTTAAAAGTAGTTCAGAATGAGAAAACACTTCCCTCCCCTTTTCATACTTTCATCTTCCTCCTCTTAATGTTCTCTTCAGGGAAACATTTGTATTGTGATTCTTTCTCCCCCTGTGTCTAAGAGAGTATTTCATTAACGTGGGCATCAGGGTTATGTTAAAGAAGCTCCAGCTAGTCTAAGGGAAAAGTTACATCTTTATCCCAAGATATTTCAAAGTTTTTGTGTGGGTGCCCAATCGACTGTTGAACTTTTGAGTTTTATCCCTGGAAATTTAACTGTGATATGAATCAACAAGAGGCATTTTACTGTTATCTACACACACATACACGTGGAAATTGTAAGCGTATCAGCTGCTTGTGAGAGAAATTCAGAAAGTGAGATAGCTCTGTTTTCTGTAGACACTCTCTTTAGAAGAACAATGAATAAGGACCCTTCCTAGATACAATGCTTTACAAACAAACTGATCATATTCCCCATAAGAATCATGGTTTTAGAGATGATATGCTTTAGCTTTTAACATGTTTCACATCCAAAGAAAATGGGCAAGCCAGTCCCAAGAGGGGTACAATCACTAAATTTTTCTCTTTATTTTAAAGGAAAAAAAAAAAAAACCTTCCTTTATGCAGATTACTCAAATCTTTTTGAATGATTTAATTTTTTTAAAATTTACTTAGCATAAACAGGACTAAAGAAATTTACATTATATGAAAATGTCTTAAAACTTATGATTAAAAATTTACTAATAGAAAGGATGCAGTCCTTCTAAGACATTTTAAGTTCTGGGTTATTTTAAGGTTTCTCTCAGTTAATCCTAAAGATCTTAAAACTATACAAGTATAAAAGTATCACTTAAAATGAGTGTCTTTTTTTACTTTATAAACATTTAATTTTGTATTGGTGTATAGTTGATTAACAATGCTGTGTTAGTTTCAGGTGCACAACAAAGCGATTCAGTTATGCACATACCCATGCCCCAGTCACTCGTGTGTTCTATTAGGACGGCCAACCAATATTTCATGACTTCTTCTGTGTGAGTTTGTTATGAGATTAGTTGATCAAGCGTTAGACCCACAAACTGATACTCACAAAATATTGGTGACCTCTGACTTGCATTCAAGCACTTTAACCTTACATGGTCATGAAAAGACAGAGACACAAAACAACTATGATGATTTTCTGCAGTCATCTATCTGCCACCAACTCAGTAGGGGAAAAAAAATCTGCTCTTGTTTTAAACTAGTTTTTCCTACTTAAAAGTAGTTCAGAATGAGAAAACACTTCCCTCCCCTTTTCATACTCTCATCTTCCTCCTCTTAACGTTCTCTTCAGGGAAACATTTGTATTGTGATTCTTTCTCCCCCTGTGTCTAAGAGAGTATTTCATTAACGTGGGCATCAGGGTTATGTTAAAGAAGCTCCAGCTAGTCTAAGGGAAAAGTTACATCTTTATCCCAAGATATTTCAAAGTTTTTGTGTGGGTGCCCAATCGACTGTTGAACTTTTGAGTTTTATCCCTGGAAATTTAACTGTGATATGAATCAACAAGAGGCATTTTACTGTTATCTACACACACATACACGTGGAAATTGTAAGCATATCAGCTGCTTGTGAGAGAAATTCAGAAAGTGAGATAGCTCTGTTTTCTGTAGACACTCTCTTTAGAAGAACAATGAATAAGGACCCTTCCTAGATACAATGCTTTACAAACAAACTGATCATATTCCCCATAAGAATCATGGTTTTAGAGATGATATGCTTTAGCTTTTAACATGTTTCACATCCAAAGAAAATGGGCAAGCCAGTCCCAAGAGGGGTACAATCACTAAATTTTTCTCTTTATTTTAAAGGAAAAAAAAAAAAAACCTTCCTTTATGCAGATTACTCAAATCTTTTTGAATGATTTAATTTTTTTAAAATTTACTTAGCATAAACAGGACTAAAGAAATTTACATTATATGAAAATGTCTTAAAACTTATGATTAAAAATTTACCAATAGAAAGGATGCAGTCCTTCTAAGACATTTTAAGTTCTGGGTTATTTTAAGGTTTCTCTCAGTTAATCCTAAAGATCTTAAAACTATACAAGTATAAAAGTATCACTTAAAATGAGTGTCTTTTTTTACTTTATAAACATTTAATTTTGTATTGGTGTATAGTTGATTAACAATGCTGTGTTAGTTTCAGGTGCACAACAAAGCGATTCAGTTATGCACATACCCATCTATTCTTTTTCAAATTGAGATGGACATGTACACACTGCTGTATTTAAAACGGATAACCAAGAGTGACCTACTGTATATACAGGGAACTCTGCTTAATATTATGTAACAACCTAAATGGGAAAAGGAGGTAAAATGAGTGTCTTTAGACAACAACAACACAAGCTTAGAATAGAAAAATCTGACTTTTATTCAGGGTTGGAGTTTCTTAACCTGTTAAAGATGTGCTCTTGAGTATTCATGAACTCCTAAAGTTGACATGAAATGTTATGAATTTGTGCATTTTTCCTGAGAAGGATCAATAGCACTCAGATTTTCAAGGCATCTATGACCAAGAGATCATTTTATATAGTGGGTTTTTAAAAAATTCTACAACTAAAAGTCTGAGGAGAAAATTAATTTTAACTTTTTATGAGATCAGCAGTCTACATGAGATCAACTGTTATGAATATGATGATTGGCCAAGAGCCACTTAAATCTTTACTAGGCAAGATTTTTAAGTTTATACAGTTCTGTTTACTGTATTCCCCATCCTTGTATTAATATAATACTTTGGCTATCTATGTTACAACTGGCACCATACCAAACACTCAAAAAACCTCTATTCTGGAGATGGGGGTTTCAGAGTGAGGAGTAAGAAAAAATATTTTGGTTCAGAGTTTCATTTACTCATGTTGAGTGAATACATTTATCATCATATTTGACCTGTGTGGTCAGATAACATGGTTAGGATGAATAGTTACCTTTAATGGGCCATCCACTCTTCCTTTTACAGACCACCCTTCCCACCATGTTTAGCCTCTTGGGTTGTATGGCCTTAGAGGTATTAAACCTTCTCTTTCTTCTTCAGTTTCTTTCTCCTTTACCTAAGATTTAAAGCCAACAGTAGTTCTAACCAACTAAGATGTACTCTAACATCATCAATGGCTGGTTTTTGGTTTTTGTTTTTTCCATTTTCACACAAAGATACCACTGTTTTCACTGCTAGGATACCTTAAAGTTCAATTCCTTTAGCATCTTACAGTGAAATCAAAGTAGAGATTGAATGAGTGGAAAGGAAACAAAATTCCCTTTCCACTTAGTTGTGTTTCGTTCGATCAGTCTCTAGATCTGTAAATCACCATAACATGAGGCAAACTGATTTATAGTTGGGGGACACTTTCCAAGAAGGAGGCAGTAGGAGAAAATTGCTATAAGATTTTTCTGGTGAAGGGAAACTAATTCTGCCAACTGATGGATAACCAGGTATTAATTTGCTGTCACGAGTGCAAAAACTAAAAATTAGGAGAAAAAAATTCCATCATGCCAACACTCTTAAACCGCTACTCCAAATGAAAGCTGTGTGAAAACTGGTCTTTCTTATTTACAAAAAGCACTGGATTCATTTTCTGCATGTTTACATGCTTTCCCTCTACTGTGTCGTTGGCACCTAATCCTTCTAAATATATTTCCTTAAAGTGCTTGCAAATAAATCTGTGCTTTGCCTTCTCTGTCACATTGCAAAAAAAAAAAAAAGAGATGTTTTTATTAATTGGATAATTTATCTCTCTTCTCATTATTTTTTCCTCAAACTCAGCTTGGAAACCAGAACTTAACTGCCAATGTGTTGGAGGTAAATGCTTCACAGACAAATCTGACCAGAAGCCTCTGCTCCATGCCCATCTTGGGGTACCTTGTAACCCAACCTCTTTTTCACAAGACAGTGGCCCCAGCCCGGCCTCACTTACCCTGCCACCACCTACTGATTTGGGGTCTTCACACCTGCAAAGACCCCCCCAACCTTTTCACACTGTTTTTATAACGCACTTCTCCCGGGCGAGCACTCCTCCTGTTCCTCCAGGGAGTCCTCCTCAGCCACCCCAGATGAACTGCAGATAGCTGACTCCGACACCACTGACCATTCTGAAACACCTTCCCCAACCTTGGGTCAGCAGTCTGCCATGACAGATGGCATCATCTTAACCACCCCTGCTATCATGAATGGAATTACTCCTCTTTCCTTTGCTTCATCATTTTTTTAACAGATCTCCAAAAGCCAAAAGGACCAATTTCTTGTCTGCCATCTGATTTTGCACCTGAGCATTTTTATTTGCATAGGTGTTGATTTCATCTAAACCAATCCTGTATCATCTATTAGGGAAAATTCCATCAGAGTCATCCTCATAAGCCCATTTTGGGCTGAAAAAGTCAATTATATTCTCTTAATTCATTTTAGAGTCACTTATATTCACACTGTGTTGCTCTAGGGAGTTGTGCAGTGATTTACCTTAATAAGAAGGTTTCTCAAAAATTTAGATATCCATATAATGTTATGATGATTAGATTACAAAGTCTAAATCCTGGTAGATAATAATTTACTTCAGAGATTCATATGAATGTGCCCTGTGTAAGCAGTTCACATCTCCTTATTCATCACATACAAGATTACTCACTGTATGATATTAATTCTTGCTGCCCCTTCATTAACAGCTACCTCTTTTGAACCCATTTTTCCAACAGGAGTAAAATGTAAATAATCTTAATCTACACTGCAGAAATTCAGCCATATGAACTTTTTGGAACCAGTTTCCCAAGCCATTCCAGTATAGAAATTTATGAATATTTATTGTTTTATATAGCAATAACTTGTCTTCCATTTAGATTAAATATAAATATTTTCCATACATATTTATATCATTTACATATGTCTATTTGACAAGCAGCCCCTAATAAATAATTTATGAATGACTGAAGTGCTTCAAAATTTTATGGTGCAGATTTTCAATTACGTATACTGCATGTATGCCTGAAAGGGATACATATATCCTTGTGGAGCTAACTGTAACTGAACTTACTTTTTTCTTTGCAGTGCAATAATAAACGTTTATTGTTTTAGATTCTGAGTTTAAGTGGCTTGTTAAGCAGCATAAATTGGATATACTTTCTCCATGAGGTGGCTTTCCTAATAATCATGTCATATAACAATAAAATACATTCTAAAGTTCTAATAGTAGTATTCAATTAGTAAAATCCTAATTGATTTAACATGATGAAAGAGTAAATCTATTTGCAGTGTTTATTTTTTTTAACCCATAGCCATTGTTATTGAAACCATCAAGATAGAAGGAAGGGCAGCTTTCCTAAGTTTAGTTACAAAACATGATAGTTTTTAGTTCTCCTACCTTTAACGTTAATTCAAACACATTATAGCAATAATATTGAAAATATATTTACAAAGATCAACCAAACTGGATTTGGACCACGGGGCAAAAATATTATTGAATTATTCATCAAAGGTATATAAGCATTCTGAAGCATTTGGGGAGATCTGTGCATCACACTTACTTGAATGGCAAGTGCTCTAAGTTAGAAGACCCTCAAGACAGAGTTGCTTATAATATGAGAGTAATTTCTGTAACAGCTCAGAGAAGTACTTCATTGTTAAGCATACTCATTGTAATGAAATGCTTACTGACTTTAGGACAGCTGTGGCATGGCTAGAAAGTAACAAAATTAGATTAATTCAACATGATTTGAAAACATCTGCTTTGAAGTGAGAAATCATAGAAATGTGAAATTAATTGACTACCTATGTTTCAGGCATACAACAAAAGTTTAATTGCTTTCAAATAAGTAGATTAAGTTCACAAATTATGGTTCTTTATCTGTATGCATATGTGTGTTGTGTGTGTATTATATTCAGCTGTATTTTAACTAAGTGCTCTTGCTGACGTTTTATCTTATTTGCACGCATTATACCATCTGCACAGTGCCCAGTGCTGCATTGTGGACAGACAGGCAAGCTTAATAGCAGTGAGCCCAACCTCTCTGAACTGAGCTGATTCAATTCAATTTTAATATTTATCTACTGAATATCTACTATGCTATTAGCCCCAGGTTGCATGTTATACAGAAAAAAATATGTTTAAAAAGCATATATATCACAATTTCCAACAGGGGTCTTGAAACACCAATGGGGATATGAAAATACTCAGATATAAAGCAATCAAAACAACAAATTAGTATTACTATAAAGGGCTAAAAAGTGAGATGAGAGCAGGAAGTAGCCAGAGATTTAACACATCTTTCTGATGCTTTGCCAAGTATTTGATTCTTCCAGAATAGACTGCTTCAGGACTTATAAATCCAAACAATTATCCTCCTTCTGTTAGTCACCTTGCCCTGGAAACACTGATTCACTAGAGGATATACATCCAAGATTAAACCTGAGAGCCAATCCCTTTCTTCTTGTCAAAGAACATTCATTTCAAATCCCACACACAGAGCAGTATGAACAGTGTTTGGACTACTTAAGTCATGACATAAAAACAGATTCACCCTCGTGTGTATTGTAACTGACTCCTATGAGAGCTTTGGACATCACTGTTGGCAGAGCGCCCAGTGGTCAGCTGCTTCCATTCCCCTCGTCACCTCCTATGGTCTCTGACATAAAAAGGGAGTGATTTCCAAAGTAAATGGAGATAGAGAAGACACTGAAAAAAAGTGCCATGCCCTTCTCGACAACAGTTTCAAAGTAAACAAACACGTGACAGCTGATTCCTGTCATGTGAGTGGAAGTCTTTATTGCCATCTAAAGGAGTGAGGCGTATAGGGGGATGCGTGCCTTAACAGGATGTCTTTGCACTTTTCTCAGAGCCAGATAACAGTGAATGGAAACTCTGGAGGCACTGTGAGTCCAATGAGTTACTATCAGAGGCCGTTTTCCCCTTCTGCTTACTCGCTACCAGGCTCACTCAATTCAAGCATGATCATGCAGCATGGCCGGTCACTTGGTAAGTCATCTGATAGTCATGATTTTCATGACAATTTCAATATAGCAGGTACAAACCACATGACGAATACATAAAGCATCCAAATAATTTTTGGAAAAGGAAGAAACATGCGACACTCCACTTTTTTAATGACCCTATCCTAGGAGAGGAATTAAAGGCAGAGGATTCAACACTGGAGAAAATAGACACCCAGCTATTCCAAGACGATGACTGCATCTATGTGTGTGTGTGGAGAAGGCCATTAGATATTTGGGGTGATGGCGTAGAAAGAAAGAGATGGCCATTTAGGGAGAAGCGAGTGCACATGTACCAGGAGAACATTCCATGAGGCAGTGCGTTTCCATGGGGGACAAATACCATCTATGTTCAAGACAGCCCTTTCTTTCATGGAAAAGCTTTCATTACAGAACGGTTTAGCAATTAAAACAGCCTAACAAGGGGACAGGCGCCTCACAAAGTAGTAAACTGCTGGTGGAACCGAGACCAGAAGACCATCAGACAGGGATGTGAGTTCCTTTAAATGATTCCAGAATTTTATAGGAAGTTATTTCTAAGTCTTTGGTGAATTAAGTCAAAGATAGAACTCTCCTCCAGAAAAAGAAATGAACATTAGAACAGTCACATAAATTTTAAGACATAATTTCATTTAGAGCCTCCTGGAAAAGAAGCTGTGCTATATAACTCTACAAATATTTTTATGCAGCAAAATATGTTAGGACAATTTAGAAGATAATGTAATAAGTATTTCTTGGCTTTTAAAAAGGTAAAGAAAAAACCCAAAGATTGGGAAACTGACTAAATCAAACCATCATCTGAATTGAAGCTGAAAAAGGTTCCATGCTTAGCAACTGGAAGGCCTGAAGGACAGCCGGAAACAGGGAAACTGGCGGAGGGCCACGTGACCTCAACCTACCTCTCAGAAAAGCAGGAGACCAATCCTCTGGACACCACCAAGCAGCAAAGAGAAAGGAACTAGACAGGGCTTTAACTCCCATGTCTTCATTGACAGTAGACAGCATCTTCTCATCCCTGACACTGTGTATTGAAAGAAAATGAGGGTATTAATTTACCCAGGAACACCCAGCCTATGGATTATGCAACTCAAACTTCTGTGGCCAGCAAAAGCTCTCTAATTATAAGACTTACATGGAGCCATGAGACTCATTAAGCAGAAGTCTAAATATACTTGCTCCTTCTCTAAGGCTGCTCCTGGGATCATCTGTGAATCTTATAATGATGTCCTTTTAGAGTATAAGACAGTAGAACATCTTTGTGCCAAAACACTGCCCTTATATAAGCAATCTGTGGTGTAGTATTATAATAGGAGTCTGTTATATTTAGATTCTTTATGGAGCTATGCATGAGCACACATCTATAGTAAAATTCTACAAATTACCCTTGCCATAATATTTTTCCAAATAATTATTATCAAAGTTAGACTGTCCTCTTTGTCTCTCTTAATGAACACAGTTTTGTCCCTCCCACTCCAACAAATAAAATATATAAATACTTGAGAATGGACAGAATTTTATATTAGAACATATCAATGTGTCGATTTTACATATAAGCTATCCTACACAGAAAGAAATTCTGTAGATAAATATTGAACAAATTCTGCCTAGAGGAACTATTCTACCCTAAAGGAACTTTATAAAGTTGAGGACAAAAAGATTGAAAATGAGAGTTAGTGAATCATATAAGAGCATAATAAAATACAAGGCTAACTTGTATTATGTAAGCTATTAGTTCATAGATTCTTATGAACCACATATTAAGACAGAGTTAACACTCTTTAGACTGGGACTTTGCACATACTCAGTGCTCAAAAAATATTTGATAGAAATACTAGCATCGTGGTTGTCTACTCAAATCCTTTCCATAATTAAATGGAAAATCTGAGTCAAATATCACTTTGTATCTTAATTTGGAGTTTCTTGGGAAAGATATTACTTTTACATACAGTAGTATAAAGCAGTTTTATTCTTAGCCTCATTTATCCTTCATCATGAATTGAAGTGGATTGGAAAAGCTTTTCTGTTGCAAACTAAAACATAATCAGAGTACAGAAGTTATAAATGTTACAATGGATTTTAGTTTGAAGAGGTCTTATCTTTATTTATCCTTATAATGATGAGTCAGATTTTTAAAATATCTTATGAAGTTCTGCCACAAAATACAGTCGTATCTTTTTAGATTTTTTTTTAGATCTGCTATATCTATATCTATACTTATATGTAATCAATGACTGCTACCCTGACATAAAGACTTCCTTATCTACATTAAAAAAAAAAAAAAGACCCAACTTACATGAGTAACAGACCTGGTAAACCATGGCTGAGAGTCATACTTGGTCAGCAAAATTTTGAAATATACTATAGAAAAACATTAAGTCATATCATCAATTGTACTAAATAAATGATAATAATGTAGATTTTCATAAATACCTGTATACTGTAAGTGGAATATATAGTACACCTATGTCCTCTTTGTTTCTTACAAAAGTACAAAAGTTAACAAAGATGGCTTGAAAATAAGAATGTGATAAATCTCAACCAAACGGTATGCTTATGGCAACTTTCACATCCCAGGGGTGAGAGGTCATGATTTTTGCTTCTTTAAAGTAAAAACAAACAAAACAAACAAAAAAGTAAAAACAAAGCTATTATGGCCATCATGGAGTCTTAGATAAAAATTAATACTAATTAATACCTTATGATCATTTCTTTACTCATATGCCTTAACATTCAAGTATATGTTTGGATGTGAAGATTTCCTGATGTGATTAGGAAGTCGTCATCACTGGACCCACCAGGAAAATCTCAAAAGCACTTTCTTAACACAGTGGTGGCCACATGATCTTTCAACAAATACTATTCTTCCCCTTAGCCCCTGTCACTGGATGATGAAGATCTTGTTTTCAGAGGTCCAAGCAGTATATACCTACATGTTAACAATGAGTGGCTCAAATTTAAGATAAATGAGTTAAAAGAAATTGTAATGGAAATACACTCTATATTTATTTATAAATATAATATGGGGCTTCCATGGTAGCTCAGCTGGTAAAGAATTGCCTGCAATGCAGGAGACCCCAGTTCTATTCCTGGGTCAGGAAGATCCCTGGAGAAGGGAGAGGCTACGTATTCCAAATTCTTGGGCTTCCCTGGTGGCTCAGATGGTAAAGGATCTGCCTGCAAAGCAGGAGACCTGGGTTTGATCCCTGGGTTGGGAAGATCCCCTGGAGGAATGCATGGCAACCCACTCCAGTATTCTTGCCTGAAGAATCCCCATGGACAGAGGAGACTGGTTTAATATATACCTACATGTTAACAATGAGTGACTCAAATTTAAGATAAATGAGCTAGAAGATATACTGATACAAATACTATACAAATCTATAGTTATTTATAAATGTAGTATATATGGGTGTTATTTGCTCAGTTATGCCTGACTCTTTGCAAGCCCATGGACTGTAGCTCACCAGGCTCCTCTGTCCATGGGATTTTACAGGCAAGAATAGTGTAGTGGGGTGCCATTCCCTTCTCCAGGGCATTTTCCCGACCCAGGGATCAAACCTGGGCCTCCTGCATTGCGGGCAGATTCTTTACTGTCTGAGCCACCAGCGAGCACCATTGTATTATATATTTATGCATAATTAATCACATATAACTATGTAATTACACATAATTATAATATACTATATTATAGTAGGCATGAATATGAGGCTCCATTAATCTGATTCCTTGTGCATCAAATATATTTCATCACATCTTCTCCGCAGATTCCTCGGAGGCATATCCCCAGCATGCCCAGTCTCTGGACGGCAGCGTGGGCAGCTCCATACCCCTGTACAGGTCCTCTGAGGAGGAGAAGAGAGTGACAGTCATCAAGGCACCCCACTACCCAGGGATCGGGCCGGTGGATGAATCCGGAATCCCCACAGCAATCAGAACGGTAGGAAATGCCAGCGCCCGCGTTGCTCCGGGGCTGTGCAAGCCTCCACAAAGGATGGATTGTCGCTGGCTTTGTGCATTCCTACACTCTTATATAATGAGGATTGCCCACTGTGCCATCTGAATTCTCATGAATATTATGCTGCGTGTGGGCAGAGAAAAGGAACTGTCCATTGAAGATAATGACCCAATCTATTTCTCTTATTTCAATTAAAAAAGCACGAAAATTGTGATCCTGTGAGATGACAGAAGTAAGCTTTGTTTGCCTTCACCTTTTACCAAGGGAAGTTAGGGCAACAGAGAGAGAAGAGAGAAGGGAGAATTAAATGTGAATTTTTTGGCTGCACTTCAGTCTCACGTGCGCTGCGAATAAGCCAGTGATTTGTGTCTGGAGATGGACGGACGTGCCTTACCGCCAGGAGATTGGGAGCCCTGGATTGGGAGTTGAGAAGCCTGATGATTGGAGGGAAGGGAGTTCATGTCAGAGAAAGGAAAAGCTGTCCGCGGAAAATACACATCACATTTGAGTGTCCCTCCTCGGCTGTGCCTGCCGAGAGCTCTCCGGGGCGATCAGTGAAAGTGTTTGGGTTGGTTTTTTTTTTTTTTTCCCCTCCAGTCTGTAAACTCTGCCAGACCGTTGTTCAGTGTGTTGGGGCAGCCCCTTCTGGCAAAGTTCAGCAGCGGCAGAGGCTGAGCTCGGGCAGGCAGCTGCTTGCTGAGCCAGTCCACTTGGAGAGGAGGTTTGTGCTAGCCTGCGGGGAAGAAGACAGGGCGCCAGGATGAGAGCCTCAGCACCTCTGCAGGTGAAACTGGGGGGCGGGGAGGGATCGTGGCGCCAACTGTGTCCACGGGGTCCGCACACCCGCCCGGGAGGTTGCGGAGGGCTGCCGGTTTGGAATGCAAACCTCGGGGGGTCAGAGAGAGGAAAAGACTGGGCATTAGATCAGAAAAAGAGATCGGGGCAATTGGAATCTGCTCAAAAAGAAGGAAAGACAGAGAGTGGGGGTGGGTGGGGGTTCCTCTCTCTTTGAATTTGCATTTATTACATGGATCCCACGATCTGAGATAAGAGTTAAAAATTGATTATTCCAAGCATCTGTATTAGGGAAGTCAGAAGGTAAGTCTGTAGAGTCATTGCTAGGGCTTTAGACTCATGAGATTCTGGGAATGTTGAATGTGGCTACTTTTAAAGACCTAAAAAATCTATGTTGGCACCAGTAGTTGTCATATTTAAGTGACAGGAAAAGTTCGGGATCGGGACTGACATTTTTAATCTTACAGTGACTGCATGTTTCTGGTGGTGGCGCTTTGTTGTATGTTTCTTTTTTAAGATTTCTGACCCCAAATTCTTTAATTAGAATTTATTTTTCCTAATAGAGTAGGGATACAGTGTCAGACAGATACAGTGTCACTGGTGTTTTTTAAACTGACCCTTGAAACATAATAGATACACAAATTAGAGATTTCTGATTCTGTGTACATAATATAGACTCATTTTATCTGAGATCTCTAGGTGTGTTTTTAATCAGTACACTGCAAAGTTAGAACTGTTTTTATCCATTAGATATAATTTTCTTAAATAACAAGGCCTTGCTTTCACATTTTAAAAAGAAAAAACTGAGATGTTAGAGATGGTTAGTGAAAAATCAAAAAATGTTAAAAATTTTATAGTATTTTATCTACTGCCAAATGAAAAGCATGTTTAGATATGCATAAACAAAAGCATATACTAGACATTCGATGCAAGCTTCCCTTCTATAAAACAGAAAATAAAATATAAGCATAACTCAGAAGTTCCTTATAAGGAACTAGCATTTTTATGTACAGCCAGGCTCCTCTGTAGACGTTTCAAAGTTTACAAAAAAGGTACAGGTCTGAAGACTCATTCACATTTCTTATTTGTCAGCCCCGCACGGCACATCCCCAAGTATAGCTGTGTTTATAAATGTGGAGTTGGGCCATCTCGGAGCCACAGCAGGCCAAGAATCTCCAAGGCTGTTTTCCTTTCTCATCTGCAGAGAAAGCAATGATTATCTGATTTACATTACTTCACACGGGCTTTCCACTCAGGGTGCACACCAAAGGCAGTGCTGTGTCAATGTACCATTTTATAGTCTCACGGTCTCAGACATTTTAGACTCTAGGCTCATTTTAGACATATTCTAGGTGTGGTGCTAGGTCTCTTTATATACATTGTCTCTCTCAATTTCCATAGACCAAGGAAACAGAATTTTGTAAAGTAACCTAGAAGCTCTAGAAGGCCAAGAGTTAAACAAATGCACCTTTGAGCTATTTGCAGGAAGGGGAGCAGCTCCCCAGACTGCCCTCTCTCATGTGACCTGGGACATCTATGTCAGCCTTTTACTGCCATCCTTAACAACAACAAACCCCACTGGGGTCCAGCTCCCACAAGATTGTGTAATTAAGGCCAACCAGTTAAGTGAAATACAAGATTCTTTTCTTCTACTTCAAATATAACACCGTTAGAGCCTTTTCAAAGCTGGAAAGGGGAAAAAACAGAACAGAACAATGAACACTGGTGGGTAGAAAATACGTGTCTCTTCCCTTTTTGGAAATCTCTGCCTGATAAATCAATGTCGAGTTATGATGTTTTGTAAACTATAGGAATGTAAATTTTCAGGTTTATTCAGCCAAGTTAGAGAAAACAACCAAAGAGTGATTTACTAATAGCTACTGTCCAGGCAAAACCATTTTGAAGAACACATAAGAAAAAGTAGACTTGTTTACTTAATCTCAATATTTGCCTTAACAACCTACATGAGGACATATATAAAGGGAAATTTACATGCTTATAAGACTTCTTTGAGAAAGAGATGGAGAGTTTAAGTGTTCCCATTTACCAGGTTCATATTCCTCTTTGTCAACCAACTTGGGCATTTTCTGGCATCTCAGTGCTCACCATATAAAGCTAGCAGATGGCACAGCAAAGATCCTGCCTGATATGTGCCCTCCGGCAAGTGAAGGGAAAAAAATCCCGTCTGTCAGGATACCTTGCCATATACAGTGATATAACTCACTTATTCAGCTTCCCCATTGCCATCGGTGGTGTTCAGGTATGGCTGGGAAACATGTTTACACAGTGTTATGTCTTATTTTTTATTGCTAAAGACTACAAAGGAATTAAAGCTTAATAAAAAAAAGAAAATCCATCTTTTATGAAACTAAATGTCCCTTAAAAATACAAGTTCAGCTACTTTGTTTAAACCAGCAAATAACAGCTAGACTGTTGCTTTATCACTGCCTCCCCCACAGCTCCCACCATTTGAGTATAAAGTCAGCCAGTGATCCACCCAATATTTCCACTGTAAAAAGAGCCTAGAATGAATGAACAAGTGATTTCCAACAAAGTTAAGTAGCCCCTGATGCTACTCTATATTTGTGGTGATTACCAGAATCAGATATTCTTAGCAAAAGAAATTTAGATATAGCACAAACTCTCAGTTTCCAGAAGAAAAACACAATGACCACACTGGAGAGGAAAATCAGGATATAAAATGTACACCAAAGTTCAGTGTAACAAACACACAGCTATTTTTATGGCTGTCCTAACAGAATGTTTTATATGAAGAGAACTATCTAAAAAATCGGTATATTTAGTTACCATATCCAGAACGGTCATGTTTCTTACCAGAATAACCTTGGAAGAGCTGAGGTGAACATCGTGACAAGCAAAATCTTGATTATGATTATAAAGCATATGTACCCATTTACAGGTACACTATTAGACAGACTTTTATCCAAAAACCTGGGTCATTCATTATTTTATTCTGTAAATATTTGAGGCTTTCTACTGTTATGACTTACGGAACATTTCTTATATTCTAGCCACTGTTCTAGATCTTTTTGCATACATGTCTTTTTCATTTTCCAAAAAAATTCTATGATGTGGATATAATTATTTCATCTTAGAAAAAACTGAGGCTCTAAAAGGTTACCTCACTCGCCCAGATTCACATTGCTGGGAAATATTAAACAGTAATTAAAGGAACTAAGAATTGAATCTAGGTTGATCTGACATTAATCTCAGCTTTCCACTGTAGCCTACTGTTTATATTATGTCAAAAGCAGAGTGGATAAGAAGCTTCTGCTTTTAAGGAACTTACAGTTTAGCACAGCAGATACTGCCAACATTTTATTATTATGTTAGAGGAGTTTTGAAGCAATAGCTATATTTTTGGACTTGCTCCAGGACACTAAATTATTTACTATATTCAGTATTTTATTAACTTAGACTAGTAAATATCAAATTTTATTTCTCTAATTCTAAGCCAATGATCAGAATACAGTTTACATCTAAAATATTCCCCAGTTAATTTTAAAAATAATGTATTGAATAGTATACTAACAAGTTTTTATGGATAGTGATAATTATCACCAAAAGGAGTGAAACAAAAAACTATTAACTATAAACTATAATTACAAAATGATAGCTTTGATTCAACTTCTTGTTGTTGTTCAGTCACTAAGTTGGGTCCAATTCTTTGTAACCCATGAACTGCAGCATACCAGGCCTCTCTGTCCTTCACTATCTCTCAGAATTTTCTCAGTTTAGCTAATTTTATATAAATAAGCTCATGGAAATATCAATTACCCAGGACTAGGCACAGCTGTGACTTGGAAAAAAAACCATAGCATATAATATTCCAGCTCAGTCTAAACTCAAACAAGGGGAAATATGTTTACAAAGTGTGGGTATGCCTTGATAAATTACTGATATCAGCTTATTGACCAGAGATGTATTAATACATCTTTTGTTGCCCGAACATTATTGACCTGAGTGTTTCAATATTCACTTACATAACAAATCACCAGCCACAAGTGTTAGTTTCTACAAAAATCCCCTGGTTAATAATGTGATGTTGTCATCATGAAATAATAAAGAGAAAATTGTATCACAGAACAGAATCTGCTATGAAAAAAGATAAAATATAGAAAGAGGAACAAGGTCTATTTGTGACCAGTTTTGTAACCTTTGGACATTTTCTTTTACAGACAGTTGACAGACCGAAGGACTGGTACAAGACCATGTTTAAGCAAATCCACATGGTACATAAGCCAGGTATGTAGTTCTGTTTTCGGATCAGGTCCCTGTGGGTGGAAGAATACGTACTCTCCTGTGCAGTTTTGTTTCACACAAAATGTCAAGACTCTAGCAAACTTCATGGCCCTCCCTTCTTTTCAACACTCCTCCTTACTCTTAGTGTTAAGTGTCAGTCACTCAGTCCAGTCTGACTCTTTGTGACCCCATGGACTGTAGCCTGCCATATTCCTCTGTCTATGGAATTCTCCAGGCAAGAACACTGGAGTGGGTTATCATTTCCTTCTCCAGGGGGTCTTCCTGACCCAGGGATCAAACCCGGGGTCTCCTGCATGGCAAGCAGATTCCTTACCATCTGAGCCACCAGGGAAGCCCCTACTCTTAGATCACCCCTCAATTCCCAGACCTGTCCTGCTTCTTCACCCCTGAGCTGCCAGAAAGCCTCTTAGAAGATGAGCCTCGAGGAGCACCAGAGGCTCTGGCCCTATCCTTTCATCCTTCCCTGTTCACAGTATAGACAAGCCTGGCTATTGTCTGCTTAAACAAACTCATGATTCCTCTATCCATACAGATCCACCCCATGTCAAGAGAGTGGGCCATAGCTGGGTCTCACCAAGTTGATAAGAGATCTTTAAAGCACTTACTAAAGGAAATTCAGGATCCAGAACAGGTGGAAAGGGGGGAAGGGACTGACGTCCTTATGCTGTGAAGTGGGCGCCAGGGCAAAGCTGTTACAGACCAGAGAAGTCAATTTGCAGAGACCCAGCAAAACAAAAACAAAACATAATATTTGAAAATTTTGAAATGGTATCATGAACTCGGCAAACCATGTTAGCCTTCTAGCAGATCTGTTGTTTCCCTGAAGTTCTGCCATCTTGATAGGATGTGGTGACCGAATCTGTATTACCATAATATTTGTTTCATTTTCTAGATGATGACACAGACATGTATAATACTCCTTATACATATAATGCAGGTAGGCTGGTTTCCTTGCTTGCCATGAATACACTGTGCCTTGCCATGCGTGGAAGAACTTCCCACTTTTTTTTTAACCACTCTGAGTGCACGATTTCAGTTTCTACAATTAGGAAGACGCTTTTTTTTTTTCCTCTTTCTTTTCTCAGCATGTGTAACAAAAAATGTGGATCTTTTCTCATGCAAATGAGAACTAATACTATTATATCTCCTTCATCCCCACTGTTAGTTTATTCTCTCTGCTTCAGGAATGTTTAACCAAAATGTGAAGGACAGCAGGGAAGAACATACTGTAATAGGGGTGCAAAGTAAGATAAAAAGGTCTCCTTTTATCAGTAGAGAATTGTTATGATTGCATAAGATCTTTCAGATTACACTTCACAGTAAAACAAGTCAAGCAAAGTATTTTGTGACCCTGTCCATACTTTTGCTCCAAATGCAACCATTCATAGAAGGCTTTTTAAAAATCCCCGTTTGCCGGACCACTCTTCTGACTCAGAGCTGCCGGTGGTCATGATGGAACGGCTTCAGCCCTGGGCATTTCCACTAGTGTTTCTGTGAGTTGGTGTCTTGGGGATGCTTTCAGGCTGGAATGAGGGACCCCTAAAAAATGTTCCTGATCGCTGCTGTCTTCTAAATATCACGTCGGGGGATCCCGCACGGGGCCTCCAGTCACTTGCCAGTTCCGGGCTCAGGACTACAGCACTGTGTCTGTATTCCCGTCTTAGAACAGGCTCGGGGGCCTACGTCCCCTTTGGCAGCTGCAACCTCCTGTCAGGGTCCCCTGGGTCAGCCTGGCCCCTGAACTAGATGAGGCTGCCCTCTCTGTGACACTTGAAGGCCAGCACTCAGGCCTTTTTAACAGTTGAGGATTCTGCTACTAGCGTCCAAGGACAAATAGAGGGGGAAAAAAAATACAAGGAGAACAAGCTCAACAAGCTGCAAGAATCTGGCTTTCAGCCCTCACTCCTCTAGATGATAGCAGGCGGCCTCCTAAGAGTCCCTCAACTTTTATATGCTGGTCACAGGTTCTACTAACTCCCCTCTTGGGTTTAGCCTGTTAAAATGCAAAACCCAATTGAGAAAATTTCAAAGATCTTATTGACTTTATATGCCGATTCACGAATCAGGTGGCATTCAATCTAGCATACAGAAAGGAGCTCCTAGGAGCTGAATGCAAGGAAAGACTTTAAAAAGGCAGAGGGAAGTGGAAACAAGGAAGTTATACCAAAGAGAAAAGCCAGCACGTTGCTGCCAGGTCACTCTCCTTGAGGGGAGGGTAGAGGTCTGTGAGGCAGAGTGTCTAACTCATGCTGACCAGGCAAATCCTGATGGACTGGTTTAAGATTCTGTTTCTGGGAGAGTCATAACTGTAACTAGGTTAAGTCTCGGCTTCGTGACGTGGGGCTTAGCATGAGTGACTCCATTTTGGGTCTGTTGTTTTGTTCTTAAAAAGCACTACAGTTGAAGTCTAACTGTGGAACTGAGGCAAAACAAAAGTTTACAGACTGTATCTTATTTGTCATAGCCAATGTGCATGGGCTTCCAGGAGAAGCAGAAGAGTGAAAATAGTAATAGCTCCAAAGACTGAGGTGGCAGGAAACTCAGAATTTTTATAATTATTTTTCATACTGAGGTTTGCATCCATGAATAATTAGTAAATTGAACAGTAGTTACCTATCAACTCACAGAGCCCTTTAGAAAGCTTTACCATTTAATCGGTAGACAAAGCAACTATAGTCAGTCTCTTCCCCTTTTACTAACCTTGCATGGTACTGTTCTATGCTTTGCACTTTCTGCCTCTTTTTTTCCTCTGCCATCTCCACAACCTCTTCCCCTACCCGCCCAAACGATCCTTCTGGGCTCACTCTAGTGCCCTCAGTTTTTTATATCTTCTCCAACCAATCTACCATCTTCTAAAATTTTAATTCCTAATATAAGTTTCCGCATGTGGCCTTTATCATATGTTACCAATTATTTTCAATCATAATTCTAATCATGTCTCTTTTCCAGAGATGCACTATGAGCTTATTAAGGGTTTAAGTTTCCTTATGCCTTGCACAGCATGTAGATAACTTGTTCAATATTTTATATGATTGTAATTAACATGTCAATTACTATATACAAATCAAAGCTTCTAAAGTAACAGAAGATAATTGGAAACATGTTATTAGTTTACATTATCCAGGAGCAAATTTGCTAAGTATCTGTAAGTCTGTTTCTGGTACCGATCTGAATTATTACTAATTCCATAATAATTGATGAAGATTCACTGTAACCAATGCTTGTGTCTACAACACATTAATGAATCAATAATGATTAATCATATTAATCAATCAAGGGCATATCATTCAATGCATGCATTATGAATATGTCTACTGATAATAATCTTGGTAAAATCATGGGATATTTTGTAAATAAATAAAAGAATTTTTATTTATTACAAAGAGAGTAATGCATTTTAAAAACGTCACTTGTCTCTGTTCTGTTTTTGTTCTGCCGTCCTGTGCTGCCTGACAGGCCTCTACAACTCGCCCTACAGTACTCAGTCACATCCTGCTGCCAAGACCCAGACCTACAGACCACTCTCCAAGAGCCACTCCGACAACGGCACCAATGCATTCAAGGATGCTTCCTCCCCCGTCCCTCCCCCGCCTGTTCCTCCAGTTCCACCCTTTCGAGCAAGAGATCGGTCTTCAACAGAAAAGTAAGGCTTTTCCCCCACAAAGTGTCCAGTATTAAGTTTAGGATATAACTGATTCCACACGGCATTCAGCAGAAGAATCAGTGCTTACCTTACTGAGATAGTTTGTGTATAACCTTATACGTATCATCTTATTAATCAGTAAAGTGACCTCCTCTATCAAGAGTGCAGCAGTTTCATACTCTTGCCTCATAATATCCTAGTCACCTTAGTTAGACTTGAAGTAATAGAGCGCCATCTCCACTCTTTGATCAATAAATGCATATGACAAACAGAAATAATGGACACCCACTCCCTTTGGCATAGCAGGTCAGAGACTATGCAGTTAAATTTCAGGTTCCTCAGATTTGCACTGTTAGGACTATCAATGATTCAAAATTTCCCCTCTGATACCCAAAAGTACAGAAAAGCTTATTCATAAGTAAGGCATTATTTAACAGGTGTCTACCTGTGACTCATTTCCACACACTAATTTTAATTTCCCCACTGAAATACATTTATAGAAACTATTCAAACAAAAATAAAAATTTATAGACACACTTTTATTGTGCCATTTTTATTAGGATAATGACTGATAGCCCTACTTATAGGTAACCTTCATTGAGACCTCACTACGAGCACTCATCTAAGTACTTTTCCTGTATCGTATCACTTAATTCTGAACACAACCCAATGAGACATGCTCTATTTTAAACCCATTTTAGAGAGGGAAAAAAACTGTAGTTTCAAAAACCAAAGTAAGTGCCTCAACTCATGCAGCTAGTGTGCCCAAGCCAGACTCACACCTGGCTCTGACTAAAGCCACAGCTCATTCTATACTAGCAATAATAAATATAAATGTAAGGATTATTTAGTATTAATATGCTTAATTATTAAGCATCCATCTATCTGACCCATCCCAGAAATTATATTCAATACCCTGCTGTACCATGAGGAGTAATTGATGATCATATAGGTTACAAGACAGCACAAAGATAGACATATGTTATATGTGAAGAGATTCTCATTTTAATGCCATCTCTTCGTGACTATTATATGTTTACACGTATGGTATCTTAAATTTGAGAAATAATAGTCTAGACACAAAACAGTATCTCTGCCATAAAGAACCAAGATTAACTCAGACTTAAATGTATTATTTGTCCTATATGTCTAGTAAAAATTAATCTTTCCTTAAGAAACACGATAATCCCTTAAAATTTTCTAGAATGCTTTCTTCTCTGCTGAATAGTGCTCATCAATTTACTAGAAAGCCAGGATCTGCTTTCCCCTAGCTCTCCTGTCTTGTAGAATATGTCTGTCTCCAACCTGCCACAGAGTTGGAATTTCATCCCATTCCATGGGTCAGAACTGCCCCCATCTATAGTCAGAAAATTCTTCTTCCTCAAAAGTGATCCTCCCAAAGGAAGCCTTCTTCAGCCTCAGCTACCTAGAAGAGTTTTACTTTTGAAGTCCCTCTTTGACTGCCTCTTGAAGGATGTTAGTTCAAGGAAAAGAGCTGATTCCAAGGACTCCTATGTGCAGAATAGATGCCAGGCTCTGGTTTTTCAAGGCTAAACCATGGAGGGTCTAGCCTGTCAAACAACTTGCTCCTATGGACAGCAACCCAAGTGATACTTTAGCACTTTTTGCAGACAAACTACGATGCCATTTGCAAGATAAACAAGATCAAACATGACATGTGCATTACTCGCTGTCACTTCAGATCAAGAACACCAGGTCACAGAGTGATGGGATAAACTTACAGGACTTTGGCGGATAGCCGCCACTTACTCATACATAGTTGCCATTTGTGACCCCAGGGTTCACTAGCACATCACTGACTGCATATCTGTTGCACAGACCCCTCATGTGACTTACTGAACCAGCAGGAGGCACATCCTTGTATGAAAAAAACAGAGGAACATACAACATGAAAGCAAAGAAATGGCTTTCTTTAAATCATTTATGTAAAACAGAACATAAATGTGCTTTTATTTTTTTCAGGGTAACATTTTACCCTGAGACACTTTAAAAAAAGTCTATATCAGAATTAACTTTGAAAACAGATATTCAGTGGTTTTATACAATGGCTTTAAGCATAGAGAATGATTTTAATATGTAACTTGTTGCTGATTTCTAGGCATGACTGGGATCCTCCAGACAGAAAAGTAGACACAAGGAAATTCCGTTCTGAGCCGAGGAGTATTTTTGAATATGAACCTGGGAAGTCCTCCATTCTGCAGCATGAAAGACCAGTAAGCACTTGTCATTAAACAGAATGCCAGTTCTCTAGGCTTCCTGGGTTCCCAAATCAACCTGAATTTCATATTGTTTAGCAATTTTTATCACCAAGGTAATTAGTTGGCATTATTAAAAAATCATGTTTGTTGTATATCATGACTTGTGCATCTTATCTCAGAATCAAAGATGCACTCACTAATATACTGTCCCTACCCACCAAATATAGGACTCATTGGCATGGAACTATAACTATGCCTAATCATTGATCCTGAATTTAATTTTTTTTTAAAGTAAAAGAACACTCAAATGCCGCACTGAATTGCCCATCTACACTGCCAGTGAGAACAATCGTTCTTGGACCTCTCTGATACAAAGGGATCAGGCAGTTCCATCCCTTCATTTCCATTATTGGTTTCTTAATATTTCTTTAACTTCAAGGGAAATTTTCCAAATGCCCTTTTTTATAACAAGTTGTTTTAATTGATTCTTATTAAATCTCTCTCAGGTTACCAAGCCTCAAGTCTCCTGACTGATTGTCAATCTAATGGATCAAGATTATATTTAACTTTGCAGCATTTTTTCCAATTATATGTTTTAATTATCTGCAAAGGAAAAGATCTATAAAGTTGAAAATAACCGCATGTCTCCTCAAAGTGCAGTTTAACAAACAGGCTTTTCCTTGGCCCTCTTTTAATTCCCCTAATCATCCTTTCTGAGTCCTCTGCTTTCTCTCCTTGACCAATGCCTTCAGGATCTCTTTGAAATTCTAAAATTCCTCTGCATAATTTCTATCAAAACCTGCTTCTAGAGAAACAATTGTGCAGTTTATTCTTGTCCTTGTCTTGAAAGAATTTTAGGTGTCAGTGAACAGGAAATAGAGAGTTTTCTTTGTTAGTGCCTTTACGAGACCCCAGGAAGCCACATCATTATATGTAAGGTCAGCCCTGAAATTTGATTAGAAACTGTTGCGCACCACACCCAATATGAGTGTCCTTGATTTAGTTTTCAAACCCTGTATTTATGGTTATGTTCTTGAGAAACATGTTCCAAAACCTTATAATCACATAATTCATACAGGATATTTTTCTAGACCTTCTTTGCCTTTCTTCAAATTAACTTGTATCTTTTAGAGTAACAGGACTTTACCAGAAAAACTGAAAGAAAAAAAAATGAACACCACTGAATTGCAGGTTCCACTGCAAACATGTAACTCATTCACTAAGTTATCTGATTTAACATCATAAGCTTTGAAATTTTTAGGATGAGAACTAATATCATGGTCTTTGAAATTTTTAGGATGAGAACCGTGAATTCACCATTGCATAAAATGGAAAAGATAAAAATCATCATGCAATATGAGTCTCAGAGTTAAATGTAGTTACCACAACATTAATGATCATTCTAACAATATCTGAGACCCTTAGGATAATGAGGGTTGTAACTGTCCTGGAATGCTTTTGCAGCTTTGGTGTCAGGAAATAGGATTGATCTTAGAAGCTGTCCATCAGGATATTTCTAGTATTTACTCATGCAACAAAACTTATGAAGCACCACCTATGTGCCAGACATTGTATTAGGTGCAGGTGACATGGCAATGAGCAAGACATAGTCTTTACTTCAAGGAACCTGGAGTAGACACATTTGTAAGAAGTAGACCATCTCCGGTGTGATTAAAAGGGAGACACACAATGAATTTGCCCCCCTCAAGAGCTTATTCACAGGCCCTGTCTGAATGAAATGTCCACTTTAGTCATGTCTTTGGGTTAATGCCTTGAAGGCTCCAAGTTTAAAAACAGCAATGACAAAAGCAATAGGAATAGTTGTAGCTCCGTATTGAGCACTTACTTAAGATGTCAGGCCTTGTAATTCATGCCTTATTACCATATAATGATCCAACAATTCTATGACGTAAATGTATGGAATTCCCATTTTACAGATAGAGAGACTGAACACTTGTTAAGTAACCTTGCCCAGCTTCCTGTGGCTGGTGAGCACTGCACCTGGGAGTTGAGCCCAGGGAGACTCATGCCTGGTGCATTTCATCACCTGCACGATGCTAAACTGCAAACACATTTAGCTAGTCGTCATCACCTTAATTAGATGATTTGATTATTTAAATTTTTTAGCATCAGTTAATTTGTTCATTTATAATAAATTAGTGTACTGGATTTATCTGACCAGCAACCTGGGCCCTGAGTATTATAATTAAGACACAAAACCAATATACCCAATATACTGAACTAGTTCTGAAAGGAATGGAAAGATCTGGAGGGCAGGTGTGGTTGAAGATTCAGATATCGATATAGCTCTCTGCTGCCACAGGAAAAGGGCCGTGAAAGGAACCTAGAAACTTGGAAAAAAGTGAGAATGGTTATCTCATGAAGAAACAGAAAGAACTAAAATGTTTATCCCTCCTAAACAATTTTGCTGAGAGCCAGCCTCATGCAAGATGATCTCAGCCAGTCATCTGTATCATTTTGGCCAGGCTTTTTATTATAGGGCTCGGCTAGTGTAGTATCTTCTTCTTTTCATCAACCCTGAATCCATTCCAATTGCCTCTCTAAACCAGAAAAAAAAAGGGGGGGGGGGGGGTTGCCGCAGGGCAGGGTTGCAGAGATTGGCTATGTCTTGCTATTTTGATAGAGTTTACCTAAGATTTGAGACTGTCTTAGACACGTGAGAGAGAGGATAGGGAGCAGGTTTGCTAAATAAGAGGGATGGGACCGCAGGTAAGGACTGCAGGCTTTAGCTATCTCATGTCTTTACTCCAAGACAGTCTGTGAGCATTCCTTGGCTCTTTTTATCTTTAATTTCTGTAAGGTATACACCACAGCTAGGTTACTCTCTGCTTATCTTTTGAATTCCGAGATGATGCCATCGTCTGCCCAGTCTTCCCAAGTGTCATCTTGGATTCCCCCCTCCCCAACCGTCTCAAAGTCCTGCCTCCTGGGAGAAGGGCCAACTGCCCTTCTCTGTCCATCTGGCCCACCACTGTCCACACCTGGATTGGAATGTCAGCCACTAACTCATTTCCCAAATTCTCCAATCTCGTCTCCACACCATAGCTACAACAACCTTAGAAAGCCTCCTGCTCAAAACTTTCTTCTGGCTTTCAAGGGTCCTTAGAGCAAAACCAAGTTCCTTAACATAATACACAAAGAACCTCATGGTCTGGCCCCGCTGACCTCTGCAACCCTGAGTATCTCCCGGACCTTCCTGTCTCAGCACCTTGCAGCTCTACAAAGAGTTCTGCACGCCCTCCTCCCTGGACCTCTGTCCAGCTGCCCCTCGGCCAGGAATGCTCTCTCCACCACCTCTTTCCTCCCAGGGAAAGTCCCATATCTCCTGCTCAGCCTGGCTCACTTCCCCCAGGGCACCACCCTAACTTCTAGACACTAGGTGCCAGCTTCCCCTGCTGTGAGGAGCCCCCCTAAGGCACGCCGCGCTGCGCCTCACCACCCTGAATTGAAATGGCCTGCTGACTTGTCTGTGTCCTTCATTAGACTTAAGCTCCTTGAAGGCAGGGACCATATCTGGTGCAGCAGTTGAATCCCTAGCACCTAGAGCAATGCCTGGCACAGGGTAGGTGCTCAGTGAAGACACATTGAATTAATAATAAGGGAATGGGGATAGGTCTTACTCTTGGAGTTAGTGGTCAAGTTGGTGGGATGGAATCCTTGTTCTGTTGCTTATCTGTGAAGTCTGTATGTTTCTAGGGATGAAAGGCGCCCCTGGTCTCCGTCAAAGCACACACTAGGGGTCCCACACTCTGCTGTTGGTAACTGTGGTTCCCTAACTCCCTGTCACATGCAGTGGGGAGAGGAGACAGTGCTATTTGAACAGAAGTCCTCCCCCAGACCCTGGCCAAAGGGATCCTCCTCTTCCTTAGAAATCAATGGAATGTACATTCATATTCTTTAATAGGAAAGTAAAAATGAATACAGTTTTTTGGAAGAGCCTACATACTCAGTTGACTGTAAATTCAGGAATGATGATTAAATGGCCCTCATGTTTGATCTGAAAAAGTACTCTGCAATCACCAGGAATTTATCTTATACTGATTTGTACCACAATCGATTCCATGAGACAATCATATAAACTCTCTCCTGGGATTATACTGATAAAAATTCTATATCCTCTCTGGGTTGGATATGTTTACAGGTGAACCAAGTTAAAATAAATTCAATTAAGCAGTGGATTAGAACACCTTTATGCTTGAAAATAGAAAATAACGTGGAGGTGTAATCTTTCTCTACGGTAACTAAACCCACACATGATAAAAGTGAGCAAACAAACTCTGAAGACAGTGCAGGGTTGAAATGCAATTTAAACCCTCAGTGAACTTAAACTTCTTTCTGTGAAGATTGTCACTAGAAGCTTAAGCTATAAAAATGGAAAGTTTCATCTGTTGGTTTAAACCATAAAAAATTCTCCCGACTAACAATGTGTCGAGCATTTACTGTGGAATCTCAGTAAATGTAAAACACAGCAGCCAATATCATTAAAGCTTAAAACCCTAATGAGCATAAGTTATAAAGAACCAAGTGACAGACAATTTCTTTTTGTTCAGAACTGCAAACAGAAACCCCATGCCTGCAATAAGAATACTGAGAGCAGTAGAATTTTTATAACCTGAAAAGCAACACATTTCTTTTCAACTGTAGGAAACAAAACTTGAGAAAGAGGTTACCTTTAAATAAGAATCGTATGTGATTTGTAGTTNAGTTGCCGCTCTGAGGTGGGATGTGGGATGGTAGACAGTATTTTCCCTTTTCCCTAGTCTATCACTGAAATAGATTTCTAATAACCAGAACTTGGTATATTTGTTTGCTGTATATATATACTTTTACTATGGAAATCAGAGTGAAGCTGTAACCTCTGGAAAACATACTTATTTGTTTAGTAAATTTGCTGCCCTCTACTGTTCAAAACATTTTTAAACAAATATTTTCTCTTAAGAGAAGTTTCAGTCTCCCCTTAGCAAAAATAAAGTACCATAGATGACAACAGAGATTATAAAATCAAGAATTAACAATGTTATTAAAGGTGTAGCATAAGAAACAGCAAGATTTGAAAAAGTTAAAGATTATTCTCCTCTGGAACCAGGACTGGGCCTCTTACACACAGAATAAAATTACTGGAAAATTCTAATATCATTTACCCTAAAAATCAGCTCCAGCCAAACTACTCCAGAAAATGCCTACATGCTGCAGCTATAATCTAAATGACAATTGGAGAAAAATAATATTTTAGTACCATCAAAATCTCAATTACTACTTTTGCACTATCAACTCAGAAATAAATTAAAACAAATTTTTAAATTAAAGAAATGGTAAATTATTTACCAGAATATTTTCTATCCATTTCATTACTTCTGAAATGTAAACCAAATATAATGCTGACTAAATGGAGAATACATCTCAAGATTTCTGCAGCATTTTTCATAGTAATCATACAATGTTTTCCATAATGTTATAATAGTAAAGGATAATAATATTTGAAAAGAAAGAAGTCTCAGCACTGTGTTTGTCCAGGCACAAGCTTTGTGACACCGCCATAACTAGTATCATAGTCTGTTTTTACTCACTTAGCACCCCATCATTAAGTGTGTTACAAGGTTACTACATGGTCTTTATCACTTTGGTCACCACATGTTTTGGGTATTGTAGGCCCTTTCACTTCTGTGATGATGTCTCAGACTTTTTCTATCACTGCCTGTAACTACTATCACAGTCTCAGAAAATACTGAAATAAAAAGCACATCTGTTAAAAGACTTTGGATATAATTGATTATTAAATACAAACCGTGTGTTATTAACAAGACTACTGGGAATGCAACAGGCCAACAAAACACTTGGACAAGCTAGGGTCAAACAATGGCTTCTGTTTGAATATGGCGTACCTCAGAGGTTGTAGAGCATTTCTTCTGGAGCTGACATCAAGTTACTCAGTACGGGTCCTTGAGAGCTTTAGGGCTTGGAAGAGAATCTAAGGATCCAGCTTGAGGCCGTGAGCACATCACAGACCTCTTGGAATATGTCCTCTCCTGGCCCAGGTGAATAGCTTTTAGAAAACAGGAGCTTCCCCCCACCCCACCCCCCCACCCCCGACTTAAAATACTACCCTCCAGCTCCTCCACATTTAATTAGTGTCATGTGATGGAGAAGGAAACGCCAACCCACTCCAGCACTGTTGCCTGGAAAATCCCACAGACGGGATCCTGGCCGATTACGGTCCATGGTGTCACAAAAGAGCCGGACACAACTTAGCGACTAAACAGTGAATTCTCAAAAGAAGTCATAACCCACACGTAGTACTTTAAGCATCCCTTTTGAATGTAAAATCAGTAGCCTGAATCAATCTGGTCAGGCATGTGTTATTTAAAATCACTAATGATATTGCTGGGTAAAATAAATGCTTTTTTCTTTTTTTCTATTATCAAAGCAATTGTATATATATTTTTCAACCTGCTTATATTAATAGTCCTAGTTTTTGTACCTTAAATATGACATTCAGAAACCACTGGAGGGGTGAAAGTCAACTATAAAGTTTTTTTTTAGTTTTTCTCTAGAATGTTAACCAGGGTTGGATTTTCTCTTCTCTCTTTCCCAACCCTTGACTGACCATATGAAAAACCCTTCCGCACTCACATCCATATCTCTAGCTCAAGGTGGACAGGTAGGTGATATTTGGGGTATCATAAAACGTGACTTTCTTCGCTTTGTAAAGGCTCTTCACACTTTTTTCAGTGTTCCGGATCAGACCTAAATTATCTGGGGGCCCCTGGGACCTTTTACTTTCCTGGACCGTTTTCTTCTGCCGGACTTAAGGCAGGACACAACGCACTGCTAGCTGGCGTCCTGTTGGCTTCCACCAAGAAGCTCTATCTAATCAATCAGTTTGTCCTTCACCCCTTTTTCTTGCAGCCCCCTCTCCCAACCACTCCGACACCTGTTCCAAGGGACCCTGGCCGGAAGCCTATTTCTATGTCACCCTGCGGAGAAGTAACTGGTAGCCCCTCCCCTCCGCCCAGGACCAGTATCCCCGCACCAAGCCCGTGCGCCCCGGCTCTCTCCCCGATCCGGGTGAGCTCCTTCCTTCTTTAACTCATGCCGTCGGGAAGTTCAGGGGTAGCCCTTGTTCCCCAGAAGCTGAGAAGATAATCGGAGGCTGGCTACTCACCGTCACCCCCACCTTGCTGCCCTTTTCTCTCTCACCGAGACTTCCGGGGTCTTCATGTCCAGGGACCCGCTAACAGTCTCCCAGCACGCTCACTCCTCCCCCGACCTTGTATCTCTTCCCACGACCCCGCTTCCCTCCCCGAGGTCCTCCAAGTGCCTGGACCCAAGTCAACTGTGAGCAGAAGGCAGGCTCGCTCACTGGGACCCCGGAGGGCAGGGGTGATGGAGGCACTCGCCCAAAAGAGCTACTTGGGGACGGAGTTGAGCCTGCTTTAATACCTTGCTGGGCTATCAGTCCTCAACCTCACTGTCACAGAGAGTCTGTTATAGTTTATGCATCCAGCTAAGGAGAAAACCAGAAATGATGGCAGAGAAAACAACTAGGGCTTAAGTGACGCCATCGAAGCTAAATCTTCATATCCTAATTTGACTCATTTTACTTTACCTTCTCTGTTCTCTCTGGCTGAGATTTGTTGGATGAAAGTTGATGCATGTTTGTGTGCGAACGTGTGTGTTTTTCATGCCTCACAGCGTTGCCCTCACTTAGCTCAGTGTGACTTTTCCTTCCCTTTTCCTTCACATCTGCTCCAGACTGATCGCATAAATCCAGATGACATAGATTTAGAAAATGAGCCCTGGTATAAATTCTTTTCAGAACTGGAGTTTGGACGCCCGGTAAGTGAGGCTAGACTGTTAATATAAAACGATTAGGAGAATGTTGTTTGATTTTTAAAACATAATCGTTACCAGAAGAGATAGGTATCATTTAGAGAATAAGAGCTGAATTCTATAGACACCAAAAAACACTGAAAAAAGTACATTCTATATGCACAAATTTGGTACAGCTTAGCTCACACTCATTTCTCTACCAAATGGTTAAACATGTTCAGACACTGCCTATATAGTTCTTTTCTTTTCCCCACCAAATCATACATTAGGATTACTTTATATCTAATTGCAAATTCAAAATGATGAGCCAGTATCTGTCTTCCCATAGTCAGACAATTCTTTATAGAAGATTTGTATTTGTTTACAGTCCATTTAGGTCTAATTCAATCAGAAGAGCACCCTGTGAAATTTACAATAATAAAAATTACTATGGTGATAGCTCCTGTCTGCTTTGGAATCACCAAGCACCTGCAGAGGGCCGGTTCTCTGTGATTTCACAGACACCTCACAGCAGCCCTCCAGTAAGAAGAAACCAGAGGCTAGAGGGGTTAATTAATTTGCCCAAGATAACAAGTGGCAGAGTCAGAAGTTAATCCCAGACCTATCAAAAAACAAACATCCTGGGAAATCCCTATTATAATATACTGCTAGACTATCACCACCATAAAATGTCTCATTTGCTCTTAGGCATGAAAAGAAAGGGAAAAACAAGGAAACCTCGTCGGGAAGTTCAGGGGTAGCCCTTGTTCCCCAGAAGCTGAGAAGATAATCGGAGGCTGGCTACTCACCGTCACCCCCACCTTGCTGCCCTTTTCTCTCTCACCGAGACTTCCGGGGTCTTCATGTCCAGGGACCCGCTAACAGTCTCCCAGCACGCTCACTCCTCCCCCGACCTTGTATCTCTTCCCACGACCCCGCTTCCCTCCCCGAGGTCCTCCAAGTGCCTGGACCCAAGTCAACTGTGAGCAGAAGGCAGGCTCGCTCACTGGGACCCCGGAGGGCAGGGGTGATGGAGGCACTCGCCCAGAAGAGCTACTTGGGGACGGAGTTGAGCCTGCTTTAATACCTTGCTGGGCTATCAGTCCTCAACCTCACTGTCACAGAGAGTCTGTTATAGTTTATGCATCCAGCTAAGGAGAAAACCAGAAATGATGGCAGAGAAAACAACTAGGGCTTAAGTGACGCCATCGAAGCTAAATCTTCATATCCTAATTTGACTCATTTTACTTTACCTTCTCTGTTCTCTCTGGCTGAGATTTGTTGGATGAAAGTTGATGCATGTTTGTGTGCGAACGTGTGTGTTTTTCATGCCTCACAGCGTTGCCCTCACTTAGCTCAGTGTGACTTTTCCTTCCCTTTTCCTTCACATCTGCTCCAGACTGATCGCATAAATCCAGATGACATAGATTTAGAAAATGAGCCCTGGTATAAATTCTTTTCAGAACTGGAGTTTGGACGCCCGGTAAGTGAGGCTAGACTGTTAATATAAAACGATTAGGAGAATGTTGTTTGATTTTTAAAACATAATCGTTACCAGAAGAGCTAGGTATCATTTAGAGAATAAGAGCTGAATTCTATAGACACCAAAAAACACTGAAAAAAGTATATTCTATATGCACAAATTTGGTACAGCTTAGCTCACACTCATTTCTCTACCAAATGGTTAAACATGTTCAGACACTGCCTATATAGTTCTTTTCTTTTCCCCACCAAATCATACATTAGGATTACTTTATATCTAATTGCAAATTCAAAATGATGAGCCAGTATCTGTCTTCCCATAGTCAGACAATTCTTTATAGAAGATTTGTATTTGTTTACAGTCCATTTAGGTCTAATTCAATCAGAAGAGCACCCTGTGAAATTTACAATAATAAAAATTACTATGGTGATAGCTCCTGTCTGCTTTGGAATCACCAAGCACCTGCAGAGGGCCGGTTCTCTGTGATTTCACAGACACCTCACAGCAGCCCTCCAGTAAGAAGAAACCAGAGGCTAGAGGGGTTAATTAATTTGCCCAAGATAACAAGTGGCAGAGTCAGAAGTTAATCCCAGACCTATCAAAAAACAAACATCCTGGGAAATCCCTATTATAATATACTGCTAGACTATCACCACCATAAAATGTCTCATTTGCTCTTAGGCATGAAAAGAAAGGGAAAAACAAGGAAACCCTGTGAACCTTGATTTCCCCTCCTGCTACTGAAAATCACATCTCTAATCCCCAAAACCCCACCAATATGAATTGTTTAGTCTGTTTGGGATAAAGAGTTGACCCAAGCTTCAAATAAAAATTTCCCTTATCAACTCAAATTTTATTGGGGAAGTGCAGATGCCAACAGCAGTGCATTTGATGTCTGTCAAGTACAGTTTTTATACTTTGATTGGTGTTTCTGAATTTTAAATGCCTGAAGAACATACTGAATGCACTGCACAGAAGTTTTAGTAAATCTTCCTTTTCATATCATGTACTGATTTATATATTCATATACTGACCATGTATTATATACTAGGTGGTTATAGTGGTTAGTCCCTTTTGTCCATTAAAATGCAAAGGAGACTTGGTTAGATTCATTACATCTTATTGAACTGGATCAAAAGTGACTGTAAATGAATATAAACCAAATATTTTTTAGAATTTCTATAAGTAATAGGAAGAATATTTTCCCTAATTTGTATCCAAGTATTCACATAAATCGGGCTTCCCAGGTGGCTCAGTGGTAAAAGAATCTGCCTGCCAATGCAGGAGTCCTGGGTTCAATCCCTGGGTTGGGAAGAAACCCTGGAGAAGGAAATGGTGACCCACTCCAGTATTCTTGCCTGGGAAATTCCATGGACAGAGGAATCTGGCGGACTGCAGTCCATGGAATCACAAAAGATTAGGACACAACATAGTGACTAAAGCAGTAACAACTCACATAAATGCATTTTACTTTAGAGAAAAAAATTTCCCAGCTTTAATGTAAATGTGTTGTTACTGTTGATTAGACAGTTCATAGGAGATAGAACCGATTTCTATTCTGAGCCTAAATTATCACCATTTTCTACAAGCATTTTCAGCTACACGTGGAAACTCACCAGCATGCTATCCACCTGCTCCTTCAGTGTTTCTTTAATGTACCTTGCATTCCTCTGTGGCTAGAGACTAGGAGTGCTAATTTTGATTTGATGAAATGAGTTTATACTAATCAAATCACTAGTGATTTTGCCCAGTGCTTGAAAATATTTATGAGCATTGCACTCTTCCTCCTGGGCTACCCGCCCCCGCCTCGCCATTTCGCTCCGTTCATGTCACTCTTTTGTGTGTATCTGATGCTGTCAGCACTGTTTCTAACTGTTGTCACCTTTTCCACATGGTCATTCCTTGCTGCCATTGATTCTCCTCCATTCCATCTCTACACTTCCGCTTATGTGGTGCATCTACACCCAGCCTCCTAAAAAGGCTCTGGACTATGTTCAAGATCATTCTCCTGGTGTTTCCAATGAGGTAAAAAACAAATTACTTTCTTTTTTCAGATTTCTTTCTTAGGAGCTGTTACTGTGATTCTGAACATCCATGTTTTACGATTCACTAAAGTGTCTATAACCTGGTTTTGAAAATCTATCTTCACATCATTGTGTTGTATACAGTATCACTGCTTGGACATTAATTACATCACAGTTGTTGGCTCTTAGGTGAAAAATCATGCCAATCATTACTTTCAGGTGAACTATTCAATGCATCCTGGTATCTGAGTGTGATAATCAAAAAGCATTATTGCATATATCTGATTATACTGAATAAAATACAGCTGGAAATCTCCTCAGAACCTGTGTTTCTTTAATGTACCTTGCATTCCTCTGTGGCTAGAGACTAGGAGTGCTAATTTTGATTTGATGAAATGAGTTTATACTAATCAAATCACTAGTGATTTTGCCCAGTGCTTGAAAATATTTATGAGCATTGCACTCTTCCTCCTGGGCTACCCGCCCCCGCCTCGCCATTTCGCTCCATTCATGTCACTCTTTTATGTGTATCTGATGCTGTCAGCACTGTTTCTAACTGTTGTCACCTTTTCCACATGGTCATTCCTTGCTGCCATTGATTCTCCTCCATTCCATCTCTACACTTCCGCTTATGTGGTGCATCTACACCCAGCCTCCTAAAAAGGCTCTGGACTATGTTCAAGATCATTCTCCTGGTGTTTCCAATGAGGTAAAAAACAAATTACTTTCTTTTTTCAGATTTCTTTCTTAGGAGCTGTTACTGTGATTCTGAACATCCATGTTTTACGATTCACTAAAGTGTCTATAACCTGGTTTTGAAAATCTATCTTCACATCATTGTGTTGTATACAGTATCACTGCTTGGACATTAATTACATCACAGTTGTTGGCTCTTAGGTGAAAAATATGCCAATCATTACTTTCAGGTGAACTATTCAATGCATCCTGGTATCTGAGTGTGATAATCAAAAAGCATTATTGCATATATCTGATTATACTGAATAAAATACAGCTGGAAATCTCCTCAGAACCGTTTTATCATCATGCTTGGTGGTACAGAATGACAGTTTAGATTCTTAGATGATCAGATTTTTTTTTTTTTTGGCCATACCATGTGGCACAAGGAAATTCCCTAATCATGGATCAAAATCACATCCCCTACAGTGGAAACATGTAATCTTAACCACTGGACTACTGGGGAAGTCCCATAATCAGATATTTTATGTCTCATATATTCCTAAAATTTATTTCAATTTTTTCTTTTTCATAGATACAATTTCTAGATTTTAACATCAGATAAAATCAAGAATAGGACTGGCAAATAACTGGCACACATGTTACAACTTCCCAGGCAAACATTACTACACCCTTGGCAGACATTACTGATCCTTCTCAATGCTGTGATCCAGGCAGCCACTATAATAGATTATCACTAGCATATGAAAAGAAATGTATTTTCCATCTCTGTCTATGATGTTCATGAGAATCTGATACATAAAAAATATTATGCCTGGCAATGTAAAGTATTATTTGAATTAGTCAAAGAGAGTATGAAGAAGGCAGAAATTATACAGAGCCAAAAGCTTTTTCTCTGCAAAGAAGAATGAAATTATTTTGGAAAGCAGATTTATGACTCATTAGTAGACATAAGCAGAAGTGATGGTTGTCTAAACATTAGCTAATAAGAAACAAAAAACTCCCATGGGAATTCATAGACGCAGCTAGGATGAGAGCAAAGTGAGTAAACTAGCTTTTGCAGTAGTTTTTCATAGTAGTTTCTGTGTGATCCTAAATAAATGAAAAAAACAATAAATATTTTTATCAAAAAGTTTTAATTCAGTTAAATATATACAACTAGAAAATAAAACTAGTAGGATACATCCTATGCTGCCACATGTACAACTGACACACGATGGTGATAACTAGAATTGCAGGCACAGTTGCAGGACAAAATACCCAACTATCTAGAGCAATCTGCAATTCCAAATTACTTTCCCTGAAGTATGCATCACAGTGTATGTTAAAACAGAGAAGTGTATAAATATTTATATATTAAAGAAAAAGTAATATAGAGTCTGAAGAAAGAGTATCATTTCAACATACAAACAGTCAAAGGATTTACTTCAGAATTCGATAAGGTCAGATATTTCTCTTAGATATCATGGCCAAATATTTCCAGGTTATTATTAAGGCAGTTCATTGAGAACTGAGATGGAATTCAGAGGTCACCGTATCTAACTCACTCATTTTTCAGTCAAGAAAAGTAGAGTCCAACTGTTTTAAGAAACACATCCAAAATTAGATGATAATATGATGGCAAATTAAAGATAAAAAACATCTCCTAACCTTCCTTTATACCATACTTCTTAGCACTTCCAAGAGATGTACTAAGAACTAAAACCTTTTAGATACAAATTATTTGTTTTATTTGTTTATACTATTATACAAGTTATACTATTCCTTAATAACTCTAGATTTCTGTAAAATACATTTCTATAATTAATATTACAGAATAATACTTGGTATAAAACTAGGAGAAAATTAATTCTATGCATTCTGTAATGTTAATGGTAGTGATGAAAAATATCGCATATAGATGCACTTGGATATTTAAACTGATTTTTCATCTTCTCCTTGGGACTGAGAAGAGGGTGTTATTTGTTCTGATAGCATATTAACTATATTATTAACTTCACATCATGGTTTTTCAGTATTAAAAAATACTCTGATAAGGTACTGAATCTGTCTCTAATAACCTCATGTAAAACATTTCTGGTAAAATTTGTAATTGATTGGACATCAACCTAGCTACCATTTATTCAGTGCCTAGTATATGCCATGAATAACACATTTTTAGTCCATAAGTATCAGTGAGAAACTGACATTAATAAGGAACAAGTAAGGATTTTTAAGCAAAGTTTAACACATGATCACTTAGACTCAATGTCCATACTTTACTAAATGACTTTCATTTGATGTTTTACAATAATGGTAACATGTAAATACTCGGTAGCTTATAATAGGTAAAACAGGTACCTCCTTTATGAAGACAATTTCCATTTCAGTATGAGTACCAATCATATACAAAGTTTTCTCTTAGTCATCTATCTAAACTTCTTATTGCTTCCTTATAATTTAATACTGAACCGTTTCCTTTGAGCATACATCACAGTACTGGTTTCAGTATATTTTACCTTGTGGAAACCAGCATGAGGAGGAATAATTTTAGCTTCTTTGTGTAAGTCTAAAACACAATTTAACAGCATGGAGTCTCTACTTCTTACACTATGTTTTATTTAATATTACAATAGTGTTTAGGCTCATCTCAAGCTAGTGATTCAAAATTTCTGATCACTTTAAGGGTATTCTCAGAGTGTCCACAAATGGACACTTGTTTTGGCCAACTGGGCACTGTGGTTGGGTGTCCCATGAAAGCTGTGAACCACAGAGATGTTCTGAGGCTCTTTGGTGCTGCTCTTCTGCAAACACGAAGAACTAATATTTATAAATCAGAATATAATTATCTGGTTTTATTTATTTACTTGTTTTCCATCCTTCTTGTTTGTATTTATCTTTCCACCCTTCCAGTGTCCAATTTAGAGTAGCAAGTTAAAACAGTCATTTAAACTTACCCGATTAGCAGACCAATTTTTTTCTATCTTTTTATTTGTTGAGAACCTCAGAATCTAAATATTTTACAGGAACTAAAAGTATTCTAATATGCTTTTTCTCTGTCTAAAAAGAGGGAGTAGTATTCTCTTGCATAGGGATGCTTTGTTTGTTTTGGGGCAATTCCTTTCTCATTCAGTAAGAGAGAATTAAATGAAAATAATAGTTAATAGAAGATATTTTAGAGTTGTGTGTAATGGGGCTTGTCAGTATATATCTACACATACTTAGTATGCATTTTCCTAGACATCCCAGACATCATACATCATACCACAACTATTTGCCTCTCAAATCCATGTCTAACAAAAAATTGTTAATATCTATTTCACTGTATTGTTCAGAATGAAGGAGTATGAAAATGGTGTATACAATAAGCATTTGTAATTATTTATCAAATTTATAGTATCTATTTTTCTTTGTTCCTATATCCATGGACAACTGAAAGCTGATTTTCTCACTAAAAGATTAAAAGTCCACTAAGTAATCTTCTATTTTAACCTAACCCTGAATGTAAATAATTTCAAAGATACAAATCTGTACCTGATTCAAGGACAGGTAGTTTAATTTCAAACCAAATTCTGTGGTTTTTTATTTAAAAAGTCATGTTTATGTTGACAGACGGAAGAAGTTCTGCTTAAATTTTATGACTACATAAAAATTACACCTGGCAATATGGCAAAAGTTTATAAAGGTTTATGATTTATAAGGATTGAATGATGGCTACAAATACTTCTTTAAACATCAAACCATTTCTTTATGTGAGAAATTTCTATTTATAGTCTGTTTCTACATGAAGGGGCAATTTTTCTTTTTCTCACCCTAGGCAATGTTTGATTTATGAATATTTTTAGTTACACAGAGAAAAGTACTGTTCTACAGTTGGCCCTCCATATCTGTAGGTTCCACATTCATGGATTCAACCAACTTAGGGACAAAAATATTTCCCACACACACACACAAAAAAAATCCAGAAATTTCCAAAAAGCAAAACTTGAATTTGCCATGCTAGCAGCTATTTCTATAGCATTTACATTGCATTAGGTTTTATAAGTAATCTAGAGATGATTTAAAGTATACCAAAGATGTGGGTAGGTTATATGCAAATAGTACACCATTGTACATAAGGGACTTGAAATCTTCAGATTTTTGGTATTCTTGGGGAGCTCCTGGAACCAACTGCCCTCAAAGGATGACTGTATATCAGATGAGAAAGTAGGTAAGAAGAAAGTAGAAATTAAGTTGCATGACTTCTTTTTGGGAAAACATTTTTATGCCCATAATAAATGGTATTTTTAATGTCACTTTTGACAAGATTCTTTTTAGGATACCTAATTTAATGTCCAGGGACACACAAAATTTTCCCATGGTAAAAATTTTCATGTTAACTATCCTTCTGTCTTAACAGGCCTCATTGTATCAATCTTCTATAGACAGAAGCCTGGAAAGACCCACTAGGTAAGAATCTCTTTACAGGCGGTGAGGGGTGGGAGGGAGGCTCAAATGGAGGACATATATGTATACTTGGAGCTGATTCACATTGTTGTACAGTGAAAACATAACACTGTAGAGCAATTATTCTCCAAATGAAAATTTTTTAAAAATCTCCTTACATTATGCAACCAGAATATTTTATGCCAGTGGTTTCTTTTTCAGTGAAATAGTAATGATAAATTTTCTATCCTTCCTCTTTATTTTAAGCACCATAATTCATGAAATTGTTTTAACTTGTTTCTGCATCGTCTTATATGAGGAAATATTCAAGAATGTATAAAGTTTAAGTGAAATAATTCTAGGTCACTTTACAGGCCGAGAAACTCTTGCCTTTCCTGTCTCCTCCATACTCAGTTTTCTTCTCCTTAGATAAGGATTATAAACATCTAATTTTCAATACTGTTAGAAGATATGATGAGGATACATTTTTTTTAATTATAGTAAATTATAAGCAATTTTATAAATTATATTCTGCATAGGTTTGTTCATTATACTCTGACCACACAAATCAAAATGCTATTGTTGCTGTTTAGTCACTGAGTCATGTCCAATTCTTTTGTGACTCCATGGACTGTAGTCTACCAGGCTCCTCTGTCCATGGGATTTCCCAGGCAAGAATACTGGAGCAGGTTGCCATTTCCTTCTCCAGGGGATCTTTCTGACCCAGAGATCAAACCCACATCTCCTGTGTCTACTGTATTGTCAGGCGTGTCCTTTATCACTGAGCTGCCAGGGAAGTCCTCAAAATACTGTTACAACTGATAAATGAAGACTTACCATATACCAGGCATTCTAAGTACATAAAATATACTCAATTCTTAATTATGAGTTAAGTACTATTATCTACATTTTATCTCTAGTAAATGGAAACTTAGGCTTCATAACATACCAGGTTTACACAGTCAGCAAGGGACAAAGTATAACTGAACCCAAATTACTTGTAGGTCCTAACTGCCCTAAGAGACTACCAAGGCAAGTTCTGTCTGTAGGCCTTCAATATCACACTTACCTTAAAATACTACAGAACTTCAGACACAGTTCAGTGACAGTACTGAAAAATGCAAACTCCCAGCCATATCATATCATCAACAAATATTTAAGAATAATTTGCCCTTCTGCAAATTTCCATCAACATAAAGGAAGAACTTGGTAAACTGGATCCTTTGTACATTGGTTTCACGAGTACCATTTAACAGCATTAAGGTCACTAAGAAAAGACCTCGCCAAATTCCTCCTTTTACATCTTGTGCAACTATGTATGCACCTAGAATATGTGAATTTTAAAGTTCTAATCTAACTTCCATAAAGACACACAGACCCTGACAGGATAATGATAGAAGATGGGCATCCTCTTGGGAAGAATGCAGACAAATTCCGAGGTCTGGCTCCAACTCTATACGTGCAAAGTCTGTAGGTTCAATTTATTTGTAAAACACTGAAATACCTCATAGGTTACTGTGCATGCATGCTGTATAAGACAATAATGTCAGTAAAGTAAATAGCATACTTTGGTCATAGGACCTGTTATACTGTTGCTGCTGCTGGTGGTGGAATTTTATCTAATGATTTGACAGACAGCATACTATGTGATGTATATATTCATTCATTAATGTTTGTCTTAAACGATGCTATACTCAGAACCATGAAAAAAAAAAAAGTCCCTGCCCTTACAGACTATCAACATCTTTTAATACAACTAAGTGAAAGGACTCTAATAGTTTATTTGATGACCAGATTATTGGCTATTCTTAAATGTTGGAATTGCAGTGTAAGATTTTTAAAGCTAAAATGATTAGGAAAAGCCTTACAGAAAGCTTGAAGTAAGAGAAATTGGTCTTACCAGATTTCCTCCTTCTTTCCAATCATCTCTTCCATTTTGGCATCCTTCCTCTGGATATATTCATGTTGGTACAACTCCTCTATATGGAGAAAAGATGTATGGTACAAATCATAACACTGAATTGTCAGTAACAAAATATTACTTTAATAGGAGAATTTTTATTTTAAATGGTGATTATAAACTTATGTTCATACAAAAACCTGTACATGGATTTTACAGTAGCTTTATTCATAATTGCCAAAATGTGCAAGCGACCAAGGTGTCCTTCAATAGGAGAATGGATAAACAATGGTGCATCCATATAATGGAATATTATTCAATGATATGAAGAAATGAGCTATCCAGCAATGAAAGGATATGGAGGTACCTTAAGAGCACACTGCTAAATGAAAGAAGCTAATCTGAAAACATGATATACTGTTGATTCCAACTACATGACATTCTGGGAAAGGTAAAACTAGAAACAGTAAAAAGATCAGTGGCCACCAGGTGTCATAGGGAGGCAGGGATGAAGGGGTTGAGCCCCGGGGATTTTTGTGATAATGACACTGCTGCTGCTGCTGCGTCACTCAGTCGTGTCCAACTCTGTGCGACTCCATGGTCTGCAGCCCACCAGGCTCCTCCGTCCATGGGATTTTCCAGGCAAGAGTACTGGAGTGGGGTGCCATTGCCGTCTCCGATAATGACACTACTCTATATGATACAACAGTAAGGGATGTATGTATGTATGTATGTCATTATACATTTGTCAAACTCATAGGATATTCAACAGAAAACGTGAACCCTAATGTAAACTATGGGCTTTAATTACATTTAATAATAATGTACTGATATGATTCATCAACTGCAAGAAATGTACCGTGCTAACAAAAGATGATAATAACAGGAGAAACCATATGCAAGAGAAAGGGAGTACATGGGAACTCTCTGTACTTCCCAATCAATTTTTCTATAAACATAAAACTGCTCTGAAAAATAACGTCTAGGAAGTCCTAACCACAGCAATCAAACAAAACAAAAAAAAGAAAAAGATATCCAAATGGTAAAGGAAGAAATGAATCTGTCACTCTTTGCAGATGGGCCTGTTAATTTTCAAAGAGGTGAGTGTAAAGAAATAGTTTTTTATATTAAGGAACAAATTCCTAAAAAATGCAATTTGGGGGATGAAGGTCATGGGAAGTCATGGGAAGTCATTCCATGGCCACCTCCGGCACCTTCCACTAGTCTTTCTGGTTTACATCTGAATCCCTGTGACACCAGCCAAACTGAAGCTGATTCCTTCTTGCAGTTCTGCAAGCATGGCCAGCGACTTTAGGAAAAGGAGGAGGAGCGAGCCTGCGGTGGGGCAGCCCAGGGGCCTGGGGGACCCAAGTGCAAGGAGCACTAGCCCAGGCCGAGCAGACCTCCCAGGATCAAGCACCACCCTGACAAAGTCCTTCATTAGTTCTTCTCCTTCTTCTCCGTCAAGAGCAAAAGGTGAGCGGCAATAAATGACGTGTAAATAATCAGTAGTTCGTTTTAACCTTGGGAAAGCTGGTCCAATGATGACCACCCGAGATGGTTAGGGTTACTATTTTAATAAAATATAGCTTCAAAACAATAGCTTTCCTTATACACAGACTAAGTCAGGATGATGAACCTTCTGAATGGCTTAAAGGACTCTGACTCTCATCTGTTAATGCTTTCTTTTCTCCAAATATATCACATGTGTTATTTGAAACAAATTTAAAGTATCAAAAAATGTATGGTCAGGCTTCTAAAAGATTACATTTACAAACATTTGCATGCTGTCAGGTTTTTCTTATGTTACTATGACTAGTAAAATTAATCAGATTTATAGAATAGAAATTAGTAGTAGCAACAGAGAGCATTGTTGCCTAAAACATAAATTGGGTTGGTTTTTTAAAAATTATTTAATTCTAGACAGAAGTTTGTCTAACCTATGAAAGTTGTTTCTTTAATCACTTGGTTTATACTTTGGTCAGTATTCATACATACAGTAGAATATCCACATTCTGTATGTAATATAGTGTTCAATTCACAACAGTCCATAATTGTGAAGTTTGTTTATCACCAAGCCATTTTTCTATATGGCCTGTCTCCTCTCTGGAAGTTTAGTGAATTGTGTTGAAAGGGAGCAGTCACTACTTCAGGTCTCTGTTTAGTTACGTATTACTGCAGCTGTAACAAGAATAATCCCACAGCAGAAACCTAGGATTGAACCAGCATCCATGGGTACCTACGATTTAGGGACCCAAGGTCTTTTCCAACCCTCTGGGGTTGAAATAGAAGAGAGAAGCAATTTGAAGTGTGAAAGAAAGTGAGCTGTAAATGAAGTTTCCATAAAGTAGCAGAGATTCAGCTACACATACCAAACGCAGGCACTGAAAGTGATGCCACATAAAATTAAAGCTAAGAGTTTGCTGGTTTGTGAGAAAGGATTTTTGGTTCTGATGATGGGGCTCTGTATAGTGCTTCTAAAAGATTACATTTACAAACATTTGCATGCTGTCAGGTTTTTCTTATGTTACTATGACTAGTAAAATTAATCAGATTTATAGAATAGAAATTAGTAGTAGCAACAGAGAGCATTGTTGCCTAAAACATAAATTGGGTTGGTTTTTTAAAAATTATTTAATTCTAGACAGAAGTTTGTCTAACCTATGAAAGTTGTTTCTTTAATCACTTGGTTTATACTTTGGTCAGTATTCATACATACAGTAGAATATCCACATTCTGTATGTAATATAGTGTTCAATTCACAACAGTCCATAATTGTGAAGTTTGTTTATCACCAAGCCATTTTTCTATATGGCCTGTCTCCTCTCTGGAAGTTTAGTGAATTGTGTTGAAAGGGAGCAGTCACTACTTCAGGTCTCTGTTTAGTTACGTATTACTGCAGCTGTAACAAGAATAATCCCACAGCAGAAACCTAGGATTGAACCAGCATCCATGGGTACCTACGATTTAGGGACCCAAGGTCTTTTCCAACCCTCTGGGGTTGAAACAGAAGAGAGAAGCAATTTGAAGTGTGAAAGAAAGTGAGCTGTAAATGAAGTTTCCATAAAGTAGCAGAGATTCAGCTACACATACCAAACGCAGGCACTGAAAGTGATGCCACATAAAATTAAAGCTAAGAGTTTGCTGGTTTGTGAGAAAGGATTTTTGGTTCTGATGATGGGGCTCTGTATAGTCAGGAGGTGCTAACTCTTGTCCATGGCCTAGTAAAGCTGTACTTACTGGAAGATTCAGATTCCAGCATTCAGAGGGAGGAAGTCCCTTTCGATATACCATTCCTCAAATTATCAGAAGCACCCTTACCAGAGTCTACTCACTTATACAAACAAATATCCTAAAGAAACCAACAGGTCATGAAATGCTATTGACTCACTATGCTTGGATTCCTGCAAAAAGTTAAAAGGATTCTTTCTGATTACTTTAGATATTTGCTCTTATCCCAGGGGGTATTAACTTCCTTTCCCAAATACTACATAGCTACTTAATGTGTTTATGTACTTTGGAAGAATTTGGGGAAGGCAGGAGCTGTCAATAGAGATATTTTCTTTCACTAGGCTTATTTTTAAGAAAAAAATGTCCCGTTAGATGTAATGTGGTCTGTCATTTATTAATTCACTCAGCAACACAAAAGAAAAGACTATTTCCATAAGAACTATTTCCATCAGGGTTAGCTCTACATTATTATATTGCATATGATTTTTTAAAAAGAACTTTCCTGGAAAAAAGCAAGTGCATTTACTTCTGATCAAAGTTTTATAATATATCCAGTTATCCTTATGGGAACCTGCCTAGTAAGAGGTTGAAAGTAGAGAAATCAAAGAGTAAATTTGTTTGTTTAAAAAGGTGCTAGTTGGTTTATTTCTTAGAAAAATATTAACAGCAGTAGTTCACAGCAACTGAACTCAATTTTACAATTCTGGAAAATATTCTGTCTTGCAGCTTTTTCTATATAATGCCCATGAAAAATTATTTGATATCATTATTGGAGTATTAATTAAATGAAAATGTATAAATTACTCTTTACATCCGTATTATTATAAGTCAAACAAGACTCAAATTCTGATCCTATTAAGATGATTAAATCTATAACATTTTTAATTACAAAACCTTTAAATCACTACCAGGTCATGCTATTGGCTTACAAGGTACTATTAGATTTTTGACATACCATATTCACAGAAAGATGGATGAAGTATGCAATGGAAATAAGTATATTTAGCAATACGAGTTACTTTCCATACACGGTTTGGTTAACTATTGTCTGCAAAGCTATGCTTATTGCTTTAGAATTAGTCTTTTTTCTCTAAGTTGAAGCTACACATATGACATTTGGTTCCTGGATTGAACCCCACTAACTGCTTTCTCTTTGCTGTGCTATCTGATGCTAACTGACATGCTGTCCTCTTCACGAGCCTTTTAACTTCTCCAATATCTCTCTTCCACCACGCTGCCTTGGACTGAAAGGTGGGGACGATAGCCAAACGTGTCCATCCCTTTCCAGTTTCTCAGGGTTCAATGGCCACCCCTCCCATGAGTTAGATTACTGTAATGCTTACAGACAGCATCTAGATGTCCCGCAAGACTCGCAGAGGGCCATTACTTTCAAAAACGGCTGGCAGATGGCCCGGCAAAATGCAGAGGTCTGGAGCAGCACTGAAGAGACCGTCTCCCCCAAAATCAAATCCCGTAGTTGCGATGACCTTTTAAATGATGACTGCGACAGCTTGCCTGACCCGAAAACCAAGTCGGAAAGTATGGGTTCTCTGCTATGCGAGGAGGACCCCAAGGAGAGCTGCCCCGTGACCTGGGCTTCCCCCTACATCCAGGAGGGCCGCAGTAACGGCAGATCAAGGCTCCGACACAGGTCGGCCCACGACGCCCCGGGCTTCCTAAAGATGTACAAGAAAATGCACCGCATCAACCGCAAGGACCTGATGAACTCCGAGGTCATCTGCTCCGTCAAGTCGAGAATAATGCAATATGAGAAGGAACAGCAGCGCAAAAGCCTGCTCCACGGATGGAGCCAGTCTTCCACCGAGGAGGTGCCCAGGGACATGGTCCCCACCCGCATTTCTGAATTTGAAAAGTTGATCCAGAAGTCAAAGTCCATGCCGAATTTGGGAGATGAAATGCTATCTCCTGTAACCCTGGAGCCGCAACAGAATGGTTTGTGTCCCCAAAGGCGGTTTTCCATTGAGTCTTTGCTGGAGGAAGAGAATCAAGGTAGACACCCTTCTCAGGTACCTCGAAGCTACAAGTCTACAGCCCTGGTGCCCATCCACATTGAAGTCACCAGTGACGACCAGCCGAGAACCCATGTGGAGTTTTCTGATAGCGACCAGGATGGAGTTGTGTCTGACCACAGTGATTACATTCACGTTGAAGGATCGTCCTTCTGCAGTGAGAGTGATTTTGATCACTTTTCTTTCACATCCTCTGAAAGTTTTTATGGATCCAGCCACCATCATCACCACCATCACCACCATCATCACCGGCACCTCATCAGCTCCTGCAAAGGCAGATGCCCTGCCTCCTACACTCGATTTACCACGATGTTAAAACACGAAAGAGCTAAACACGAAAACATTGATGAGCCCAGAAGACAAGACATGGACCCTGGCCTTTCTAAACTGGCGTTTCTGGTCAGTCCTGTGCCTTTCCGGAGGAAAAAAAATTCAACTCCCAAAAAACAGATGGAAAAGGCAAAATGTAAGACATCTGTGTTTGAGGCTCTGGACTCTGCCCTTAAGGACATCTGTGACCAAATTAAGGCTGAAAAGAGAAGGGGAAGTTTGCCAGACAACAGTATATTGCACCGTCTTATCAGTGAACTGCTGCCAGATATTCCTGAAAGGAATTCATCACTCAAAGCCCTAAAAAGGAGCCCCATGCACCAGCCTTTTCACCCACTGCCTCAAGAAGGTGCTATTCATTGCCCGCTGTACCAGAACGATTGTGGGAGAATGCCTCACAGTGCCTCCTTCCAAGACGACACCAACAACAACTACCACCACCAAGACCATGATGGTGCACTGAACCTCCAAGGTGGATCAACTTTTCTTTCGTTTTCCCTTGTGGTTCACAAACACACCCTCCAGTTCTTTCATGTTTCATTCCTACATCTCATCATTCTTGAGCTCTGTGACCACCTGGATTCATTATGTGTTGAATAGTTCTCATTTGTCCCTGGGATATTTGGACTTGATGTGTGGCTTAAAGTGATCACAAAAATTTACTCATTCAGAATCAAAAGGGATAAATAGTTTTGCAGCTGGATGTTAGGGTTGAGATAACTTACATAGAAATGACAAATTAAACTTATTTTATCAGTTTATAAGAATTTCAAGACAGAAATCATAATTGAGTATCAGTATCCTTAAGAAACTGACAACTTTGCATTAGCTCCTTTTTTGTTGTGTAAAATGAATCAAAATCAGTAGTTTAACATCTTTTCCTTGATTCTATTAACTTTCTAGTCACTCACCCAATAAATAATTTGCTGACATTCTATTAGAAGATGTAAAATCAGCACACTCAGGAAGAAAAACCAAAATATGTAATGTAGTAATTGATGCATGATTAAAAGAGAATAAATAGGACTTGTTTAATAACTTTCTTCTTTTAAAAGATACAACTGATAAAATTTTTGTGAATATATCTTTAAGCTGTATATGTAAAAGTCTCATTTCCATCATTCATTTATTCATTTTCTCTTCCTCTTCATTATTTAATCTATTTTCTATTTCTGCTAAAAACAATCCTGTACCGACATTTGAATTAGATTATTTAGGATAAAAGTGACTCTCAACTTCATTTTCATAGATTCCTTAAAGTGGAACACAAGGACAAATAGCAACTCAAATAGAGAGGACATTTTTTCAGGTATATATTACTGGAAAACACAGGATGTTTTGATATTTTTATCCAATCCTTTTCATTAATGCTTAAAGTGCATTTGTTTCCTGTGTAAATTTTAAGAAGCTGGAATGAATCTTCCAGGCTGAAACTTAGATTGTTCACAGAATTTTTTATGCACCAGACATTCCAAAGTGCTTTATACACATTTTCTACTTAACATGGCATAAACGTAGATGATAGATATTACTGTAAGCACTGTTTTACAGATGAGGAAATTAACACCCAGAGAGGACAAGAAATCTGACCAAAGTCACACAATGAGTAGGTAGCAGAAACAAGATTCAAACTCATGCAATTCAGAATTTGAGCACAGAACATTTGAACACTGAGCAAACGCCACAGAATCTGAGCACAGAGTATCTATAGGGAAAAAGAGTCATAATTCATATTTCAAATTAATGTAACATATATAACCCGACTGTTAGTAACTATTGCACAAATTTGCTTATCTTCTTAGTATTTATGTTTGTTTTCATTTATACCATATGACATGCTTCAAAAATAGTAAATCTACATTTTTAAAATCAAAGTCAACAACTTGAAATTTTCACTGATTGAGACATGTCATAATGTAATGTAATGTTTTCATAAATAACCTTTTCCAGTTATTTAATGTCATTTACATTTCTACATATAAAAGTATAAGATATAAAGATACCATTAATAGATACTTGCATCTTTATTTTATAATGCAATTAATTATGTATATTTTGTTTTAGAGCAAACAGAAACGATGCAATAGTTCATAAGTCACTGGCCACCAATACGACACTTTCTGTTTAAAAAATTTTTATCCTTTTGTTTCTGGGGATAGATATTCACTTTCTAATAAGATAGTTGAGCACAAAGGAAGCAAACAGATGATGGCCTATTAAGCCTTAAACCTTAAGATGTCATCTTCAGACTCAATAAGTCATTAAACACAGAGAGAAAGAGAGAAGAGAATGGCCACGATGTAGTTCTGCCATCATCATATTTTTTTGTTTTTCATTTCTGCATCCTTAAGTTGTTCCATAACATGCTTCAGTTTTTATAAATGGTTGCTCCCATCTTCATCTTCTTTAGGCTCTATCATAGAAATTATAAACTGGTGGCAAAAAGAACAGCAAGTATTAAATCTTTGAGAGGAAAAATCCATGTAACTTTGAATTACCTATAGTAGGTGCTGCAGCATAATTATATCAGCAGCATAACAATTAAACCTTTATATTTATAATACTTCTGAAATCTTGGATACTTTTCCTCTAAAAGTGCTCTGTTTTGTGTCTTATATCACATCTTTGTAATTACCTGTGAGTTTTAGGCCTGTGCTTTCCATTGTGGTGTCTCTCCACATTTGAAAGGGAATATAGCTGCCCCCAGGGGAAATGGCTCATCAAGTCTGCTTTTGATTACGTGGATACTCACTCTGGCCCTGTCCTTTCCAACAGACCACGAGTCCCCTAGGAGTTACTCGGCCACACTGACTGATTTTGGAAGAACCGCACCCAGGGAAAGAAGAGGAACTCCAGAAAAAGAGGTAGCCTGCTTAGTGGCATTTGAGTCTTTTTCAGCAATATACTTGAGAAAGCATTTGCCAGCTGAAGTTATGTCCAAAACCAGTAAGACCAGATTAAAAACATAAAAGTGTTGATGGAGAAACTAGAAATTAGTTTTTTCTGGAGCCTGAGCAAAGGATTTGAAGCCACTGCATTCTAACCTGAGCAGCATGTCTCCCCCAGTTGTAGTCCATTTTTGAGAGTGACTCTCGAGTCTTGACCTGACCTGTAAATTAATAGCTTTGTCTGAAACAGTCTTGAGCTGGGCCACCCCTTGGAGGAAGAAAGATTTCCCTATCCAGATTTCTGGCCCAGCGATGAAGGGGACAGTCCTATCAGCTGTGCTGCAAATCAATACCAATTCCATGGAAATAATTTTTGCTGCCCTGCTTTTGTTGGGGAGGATCCCTGAAAAAACCCGCTGTTCCTGGGAACCCCCAACCTGCTGGCTCTTGTCCGTGGTCCTGAGCCAGGCCTGATGGTGTAGCTTGTACTATCTTGAAGCCAGGAATGTTTGATGGAAACAGAAGGCTGGTCCTGGACCATCAGCCACTCCAGAAAGCTCTCTACCAGTGTCTAACATAGTCCAGTGCCTGTGGATCCAGGATCCAAAGTCAGGAATGATCCAGGATGCCCAGAGTACACCAGAGTCACAGGGAAAGAGAGGTGAGAGGATGATTGGCATCAGAGAGGAAGAGCTCAAGTGAGTAGCTACTGGTGCCCCAGGCAGATCTGTGAGCCCCACAACGCGAGTGTGGGCTTGTGTTGAATCTGCTCAGGACTCAAAGATGAGCAGCTGGTTTACTGGGTGCTAAAGAATTCCTGAACTCCCCAGGGAATACAAAATGACCAAGCCCATGCTTTTGGTCACTAACTAGCCTCTCTGCGATAACTTGGCTATATTTCTTTGCTACTGTGTTAACAAGTGTTTAGTAAAAGGAGTAAGGACTTCCTTTGTGACTTTTTCCAGTCCTTTAATTACGGTTCAGAAGCTGTGTCAATACTTAAGACACAGAACAATTGACCTTCCACAGTTATCCCAGGAAAACCAAAATATACCTAGGACCAAATCCTCTGCAGGCATTTTATTCCCCATTCATGGCAAACATTTACCTGAGTCCCTAAGATGAAACGTGATATTCAACAATTATGGTGAATAGGTCATCTGTTATAGTTTAACTATCTAAAAAGAACCAATTGATTTGCCTTTAAATTGCATATATGATTTACATTGTATATGTTTAACAATCGTTCAAGTTTCATTTCTCTTTAATTCATATGAAACTGCTTTTTTAATAGGAAATCCAAAACGTTAAGTTAACATCAACTATTTCCTTCCTTTTCAGAAACTGCCTGCAAAAGCTGTTTACGATTTTAAGGCTCAGACATCCAAGTAAGTATAAGCATTCATCATATGATTTAAGTTGACTTTAAATACATAAATAATACTTTAAAAGACAAATATTGCACTGTGATGTGTTACAAATAAGACCTAGTTCCCAATTCAGCAATCAACTCTAATTAAATGGTTCTTTTTTAATTCATTGGGATGTGGGGGTAATTTTATTTTCATTTTGAGTTTCATAGAGAAACATTGAGTTTTAAATTACCCTAAATATGTTAGAGCACAGTGAGTTCTAAAGGATAGGAAAAACAAAATGAAATTAAGGATCTTTGTTTCTAGAATTTTCATGTCAAGAATGAAGTAAAAATAAAGTGTTTGGGAGTAATTAACACTTAGAGAATTTGATAACATTTATTTATCCAACTATATCAAGAATAGTTTGTGGTTAAAGACTAAAACTGTGTACAAAGACTCCTATAGTAAAAATCTCCATTTCTCAATACTCAAAGCTTAAAGACTCTGAGTACATTTTTATCCTGTGGCCTTTTTTTCTTTTTCTAAGAGGTTAACATTTTATCTATTTATTTGGCCACAATGAGGGTTATGTGGGATCTTAGTTCCTCAACCAAGGATACAACCTTCCACCCTCCACACTGGAAGCATGGAGACGGAGTCTTAACCACTGGACTGCCAGGGAATTCCCTATCCTGTGGTCTTTTAATGTTGGTGTTTTCACAACACAAATTGTGTTGGAATTTTTCACTTTTTTTTTTTAGGAACTTGTTAATCAGATGGGCACATGGTTAGGGAAAGCTAATAGTAAGCACATGAGGAGGTTTAAATAGGAGCAAGACTTCCAGCTCTGTTATGGTCCATGTCACATGCCTAACTTAAGAAACTTTGGTGTCCAATAGAATTCAAGATGCTGGCATTAAATTACACTATGCCGTTTAGATGGAATATATACATCAGTCAAAGCATTTGTTCATAAAAATGCATATTATATGAATTAATAAAGAATTCATCTCTGGCAGAAGACATATAAACAATAAAACCACTCAAAATTTGGAAATGAATAAGAAAATGCTATTTAGAGGGGAAGATGTTGAACACGAAGGAAAGCTTACAGCCTTTTTTTCTGATGACAGAAGTAACGTCTGCTCTGCCTCCACTGCTATTCTCCGGGTGTGGTGTGATCATTCATACAAGGCATGTCAGTTTTATAAAATAATGATTTAAAACATGTAAATTTCATTTCTTCTTTAATGACAGTCAAATGTGTCCTCAGATGTGTGAAGCCCTGAGGAATGACAGGGTGTATAAAATATGCTCAGGGCTCAGAAGCTTTTTGAGAAATCTGAATTAGAAGCAAGCATCGGAAGACAGATGAGGTGCAGTGCAGAGGAAAGGTGTTTGTGGTGGCGATTGTGTCATGGATTTCATCTGCTCCAAGTGCCAAGCCCCTCACCCTCCTCCATGGCCAAGTCCTCATTGTGAAAGTGTGAACGTGGCAAAGGTTCGGGGAAACCCACTCTCCCGCACGCTGCCCATGGGAGTGTAAATGACACAGTTGTTCTCAAGGGCACCTGCACTACCTCCACCAAGGTCTTCCTCAGCCAATAAAATCTAATTGTATTATGCACCTTTAGAGAAGTGGAGTGAGTAATCACCCATGGAACCCATCCCAGAACTTCCAGTTCAGTTCAGTCGCTGAGTCGTGTCTGATTCTTTGTGACCCCATGGACTACAGCACGCCAGGCCTCCCTATCCATCACCAACTCCCAGAGTTTACTGAAACTAACATCCATTGAGTCGGTGATGCCAACCAACCATCCCATCCTCCGTTGTCCCCTTCTCCTCCTGCCCTCAATCTTTCCCAGCATCAGGGTCTTTTCCAATGAGTCAGCTCTTCACGTCAGGTGGCCAAAGGATTGGAATTTCAGCTTCAGCATCAGTCCTTCCAATGAATATTCAGGACTGATTTCCTTTAGGATGGACTGGTTGGATCTCCTTGCAGTCCAAGGGACTCTCAAGAGTCTTCTCCAACACCACAGTTCAAAAGCATCAATTCTTCGG